TACTGAGGACTAAAGACATGGCACAACAGACGTCCATCAGATGTTCACTTTTTGGGGTAAGAAACACGAGAGTTGTGTGTCCCTGTAATTTGGCACCTAACAATGCTGAGTATAGGCTCCAACACTATCAACTGTGTGCTACCAACAGAGATGCAATCTGGCTAAATCAAAACTCAGTCAAAACAAAACTGTACTGTACATAGAGAGGTTCGGACTGCACGATAGCTTTCATCAAGGTATTTGGCCTGCTGGTATAAGTTTTGTAGAAAGAAATATGGCCACAGGGCCCTTTGAAAGAGGGGGAGAATGAAGGGCCTAATCAAATTGATACAAACGGTGACGACAATGCTAGCCCCGGACTCAGATTCTTGCCCAACTTCCGGGCTGGCTCTGTACATGTGGGAAAGAGCTTTACGGGGTTGCATGGTATGAGAACGCATGCCGGAAGGATGAAATGCGAGGGTGCTCCACGCCAGTAAATGCCGTCGCAAAACTACTACTCCTGTGGTAGTTTCTGAGTTGTTAGGGAACGACGGGCAGGGTGTTCCCCACTCGCCCAGAGAGGCCCATGACGTCGATTGCGGAGGCGCACATTTGATGATTTCCCGAGGAAGTGCGTTCCAAAATCAGGTTTTCCACCTGCGAGCGATAAGGTTGTGTGGTGCGCGGTTAGAGGGTACATTATGTGAGATACTTAAACATGATTTTAAAAAGAAGTCGTTAGGCGACAAGCTTACACAATTTGGTGATGTTATATATAAACACTGCTCCCGTCAGTTAGGGACAGTTTAGAAGGCATAGCCGGGTGCCAAGCAGAATACTAGCAGGAGACAGAGGGACATTCTGAAGTGTAGGGCAGACAAGAATGCCCTCAGAAAACGGTTTAAAGCAGCTACAGGCAGCGAAGGGAGGGGCTGTATGAAGTTTGGTTGCATTTAAAGAACAAACACAGTGCCCTCTGTCGCGCTGAGCGTTTCTGTAACAACGGAGAAGAACCAAAATGGGAGCGAGAGAAATTCTTTAGGGACCCGTTCCAGTTTGCCCGAGGTCTATTCCAGCAACCGAAGTCTGGGACTCTGGTTGTCAGTAAAGAGGAGCTTGAGTCACATCTACGCAAGATGTACTCTGACAAAAAGCGGAATGAGCCTCTCGAGAACAATCCAGAGATCCTTAGCGGCCTCATGCAGCCTGAGTTGCCGAAGGTACCATTTAAACTGATACCTCCCCTTTGGTCTGAGGTTGAGGAAATTGTGACACGAGCCAGCGGCAAGTCTGCTCCAGGTCCGAACGGTGTTCCGTACGTTCTTTACAACGTTGTCCGAAAATCCTACGGATGCTTCACGTCTTGTTGAGACAAGCGTGGAGCCGAAAACACATATGTCCAGAGTGACAAAGGGCAAACGGGGTCTACATTCCCAAAGAGCAGGACTCTAAGAGTCTTTCCAAATTCAAGCCCATCTCGCTGTTGAATGTTGAGGGTAAAATATGCATTTGGGAGTCTATTCAGAGAGCCAAGCATGAGAGAACTCAGTTGCACGTTATATAGTTGGACCTCGCCAACGCCTATGGGGCAGTTCCCCATAGGCTACTGTGGCAGGCTCTTCGCATGTTTCACGTACCGACACAGATCAACCAAATGATCGAGCAATATTTCTCCAAGTTCGATTTGCGCTTTTCTACCTCGACGTTCATCACGAGGTGGACTGAGTTACAAGTTGGGATTGCTATGGGCTGTACGATCTCACTCATACTGTTCGTCATGGCCATGCAGATCATTTTGGACGGGGCGGCCGGCTACGGACAGAGCCTTCAAATTAGGGATCACTGGATGCCGCCACTACGCGCATTTATGGATGACACGACTATAATCACGGGCAGCGAGGAGTCTGCCCGCACGATCCTGAAAAGATTGGACGCGGTGGTCCAATGGAGTGGTATGCAGTTCAAACCGCAGAAGTCGAGGAGTCTGTCAATCCTTAAAGGCAAGGTGTCGGCAATCAGTTTGACGGTGGCAAGGAATAAGATCCCGTTCTGGAGGAACCGGTGAAGAGCCTTGGTCGCGTTTACGATTCCAAGTTATCAGATAGAGTGGAGGTCCGGCGAATACACGAGTCACTGGCTACAGGCCTGCTCGCGATCGAGCGTAGCAGGCTGATTGGGAAGTTTAAGGTATGGTGTCTCCAATTCATGTTGATTCCGAAGCTCCTCTGGCCGCTGTTAGTCAACGAAGTGACGATGACTGCAGTGGAGACGATGGAGAAAAAAATCAACACAGCCTTAAGAAAGTGGATTGGTGCACCGCCTTGTCTGACTGACGTGGCTCTGTATTGCAAGCAGGCTAAGCTGGTACTCCCGTTCAAATCGATAACCGAAGAGTTTAAAGTCGGCAAAGTAAGACTCGCCATGCTCTTGCTCGAGTCTTCAGACACAAATGTCATCGCTGTCCAGTCCGCTCTAAAGACTGATCAGAAGTGGAGAGTCCTCGATGCGATAGACTCTGCCCAAAATGCACTAAAATTGAAGGAGATAATGGGATACACTCAAACCGACCGTCGAGGCCTAGGTCACGGGAAGGTCAATTGGTGGTCCAAAGCCACAGCCAAAGAGCGCCGAGACATGGTGATACAACAAGTTAGAGACAACGAAAACAAGGTTCGGATCCAGGAAGCAGCCCAACAGTCGCAGCAGGGCCATTGGGTCAGCCTGGAGAGCGCATTGCCAAGTGTACTCACATGGGATGAGATCTGGCGAATGACCCCGCTGCGACTGAGCTTTATCGTTCGTTCGGCGTACAAAGTATTACCGTCCGGTGTTAACATGGTTAAATTGTCTGCGACCAACGATCCGACTTGCCCGCTGTGCAAAGCGAAGCAGACGCTAGAACACGTTCTGTCAGCATACAGGAAAGCCCTAGGTCAAGGCCGATATACCTGGCGACACAACAAGGTGCTAAAAGAGTTAGCAGCCGTTGTTGACCAGGCTAGGATGCAGGCCAACGCGAGGGCCAGTCCTACCATCGTCCACATACGTTTCCTCAAGGCTGGGCAGATTCACAAAGGTAGAATTAACAAAAACGCATTCGCTCCATCTATGCTAGACTCTGCGAGGGACTGGTTACTGACGGTTGATCTGCCGGGCCATGAAAGGTACCCTGAGTTAATCCGGAAGACCGGCCTGTTACCTGACATAGTTCTCCACTCTGCGGAGAAACGGCAGCTCATCCTGATTGAGCTGACCGTCCCATATGAGTTACGTCTGGACGAAAATCACATGTATAAGCTCGAGAAATACTGTGATTTAGCAGCCGGTCTGAGGAGAGACGAGGCGTACACAGTACGTGTCTTTGCCGTCGAAGTGGGAGCGAGGGGTCTCGTCTCCACTTCGCTCTACAATGTGGTTGAAGAACTAGGATTGCGCGGTAATTAACGGAAACGGACACTTAAACGGCTGGGCGAGGTTAATGAGAGGGCCTCGAGCTGGCTCTGGACGCAACGGAACAACGTAGGGGACGGGCCTCGGTGAGCTGGTCTGGGTGTCTAGTGGAAAAGAGCTTCTCATCCCTTGAAAGTCCATCGTGTCCGAATTGTCTGTCAATGTTCCTCTGCCATCTGCTAACAAAGTCCAACATGTGTCCGTTATACCAATCGTAAGCTTGTCGCGTGGTCGTCCAGGTATGCAGACTGCTCTAATTATGTTACCCCGACGACTTCTTATCTCACACTACCTTCTGCAAAATCACCAAGTCATTTTGTTCCTATCCGAACACCATTCGGTAATTTCGTGCAGCAGGGAAACCAACCCTGAGCTTCATGAACTCAGGTGGGCCCAATATCTAAAAACGTCTAGGAGCTCGTGGGCCGTAACGTTTGTCGACGAGAGATTACTTCTACTGATGATTGGTAGATCCCTGCTGTACATTCTCCCCTGTGGAGTTTATTCCTATTTTGTAACAGAAGGAATCAAGAACCAAAGAACAAGAAATGACATGAATGACAATAAACTACATTTAAGACTACAGACTGTCCACAGACTGTCTTCTAGGGAATGCACTGGTTAACCGATTCTTCTTCTGAATATCGTTCTTCACTTTCTAACAATTGATTCCATACTTTCTAACACACTCATTATGTCTTCCTTATCGTGAATCACTTTCTGATCATTACAGTGGATGCCGTCAGTCAAGGGAAGCTAACCGAAGATGTGGTCAGAGAAAGAGTTAAGCCCTTGTTCTACACCAGGATGAGGCTGGGAGAGTTTGACCCTCCAGAAAACAACCCGTATGCAAGTCTGGACGGCAGTGTGGCCGAGTCACTAGAGCACCAGGCCTTGGCTGTGGAAGCCGCCATCAAATCTTTTGTCCTCTTAAAGAACACAAACAACTTTTTGCCCGTAAACCCTGCGGCGTACTCAAATGTAGCGGTTAGTAAAATCTGATGTGTTTCATGTATCAGAAATGATAATTGTTGGTGGCTTTTTAATTGTTGCCAAAAGCTCCTTTGGTGCTGTTCACGTTTGCAGGCCTAGGATTACAGTTACTTCCCTTGCCATTCATGCCTCCTTAGGTCGCTGGACCTTTCCTATGTTGCAGGGAAGTCATGTTTTCCTTATTGTGAACGGTGTAACCGTTTCCGCTTTTCTCCTTTTACCACCGCCCGCTTGTGTGATTGTTTTCGGTTCTTTCGTAACATCTTACCCCAGATAACGTCACCGGACAATCAAACATTTTAGAGGGTGGTAAGACTGGGTGTTCCGGATTTCTAATGCTTTTAACGATCCCAAAACATCAAGAACTGGCCCTAACCCGAAAGCACCTACGACCCACGAGAGAGTGCGGTCTAAGTTCTACGACTGAATGCAGCCTGGGTCCCACGACTGCAAGCAGCCTACCTACCAACCCCTGAAATATTAAACTGTCCCATGACCTGTGGATTTCCCTTGTCTGGGTAGAATATTACAAAAGCACCTGCTACCTGCGCGACGGTACAGGAGTATGGAAACAGCGATATATTTTGCCATTCCTACGCTCATTGTAACTGCTTTCTTTCTCTCGGGGGAAAGCCACCGCTAGCGAACCTTGAAATACAAAAACTTCCCACTTTCGACAGCCAAGAATGTTCGCGCCTGCGGCGCTTCCCTTGCAAAAAGGTCTTATTTGTATGCAGGCGCCGTGGTGCCTGAAATAGACTCACAGCAACACAACCTTCTACAAACATTACATATGCCGAGCGAACGCCAATTCAAGCCTTATCTGAACACACCGCAACATAGGAGAGGCTCCAGCAATCTAAGGGGCATGAATGGCAAGGGAATTTACTCGAATCCTGGGCCTGGATTTACGGATATCAGTCAATACCATGATAGATAAATTCACGGATATCAGTCAATACCATGATAGATAAATTCACGGATATCAGTCAATGCCATGATAGATAAATTCACGGATTTCAGTCAATACCATGATAGATAAATTCACGGATATCAGTCAATACCATGACAGATAAATTCACGGATATCAGTCAATACCATACTAGATAAATTCACGGATATCAGTCAAGGCCATGATATATAAATTCATGGATATCAGTCAATACCATGATAGATAAATTCACGGATATCAGTCAATACCATGATAGATAAATTCACGGATATCAGTCAATGCCATGATATATAAATTCACGGATATCAGTCAATACCATGACAGATAAATTCACGGATATCAGTCAATGCCATGATAGATAAATTTACGGACATCAGTCAATACCATGATAGATAAATTCACGGATAACAGTCAATGCCATGACAGATAAATTCACTGATATCAGTCATTAACTTGATAGATAAATTCACGAATATCAGTCAATACCATGATAGACAAATTCACGGATATTAATCAACAACTTGATAGATAAATTCACGGATATCAATCGATGCCATGATAGATTTAAATTCACGGACATCAATCAATACCATAATAGATAAATTCACGGATATTGGTGAATACCATGACAGACAAATTCACGGATATTAATTAATAACTTGATAGATAAATTCACTGAACAGTTTAGAGGAATATATGATAGTCAAATATAGAATTGAAAAAAAAAAAAAAAACCTGGCAAATATTGAGCACTTCAAGATATATGCAAAACGATTTGAACATCTGGCATGTGTCTCACCAGATCGTTGGGCCAATGGCAGACAATGTGGGTCAACTGTTTGGAGACTACAGTCCGCAACAGGACAGAAGCTTCACTAAGACGCCTCTACAAGGTCTTCAGGAGATTTTCCCCAACATCAGAACAGGAAAAGCTTGCTTGGACAAAACACCGTGTACCTCGTACAACCCGGAGATTATCATGGATGCTGTGGCGGCTGCAAATCTGGTCTTTGTGGCTTTAGGAACAGGTGGGTATGGGTAGGGATCAAATCATTCCTAATCTTATTGCTCTTGTATTTTATAGAATACGGAATTATGCACTTGCAGTGAACCAAGTGCAGTTTCAAACTTTCGTATCTCACACAAAATGTGCACATTGTGAAATAAATTGTCCGGTTTTGTCGTTATATGTCACACAGAGCTTGCAGTCTATTTCCAATTCCGTTCTATCCTGCGTAATCGCTTCGATATCATAGATGAAATCAAGTCCAGCAGCTTTGGCTTCTCTCCTCAACGTTCACCTTACGGTTTATTTTGGATGTCCCATTTTCTCCAATCACTCCTGTGTCCCATTTCATTGTGAAAAAAGTATTAGTAGTCGTAGCAGCAACAACAGCAGCAGCAGTGTTTACAGCAGCAACAGTAGTAGTAAAAGTCAGCTGCATTTCCTCTTCAAGACGTCACAAACCAAAAACGATCAGTAGTTCGTCCTTGCCAATGATAAGTATTATACTCATATAGTTTTCACATTTAACGTAAAGCGGTCTGATATTAAACAAGCTGCAGCTGACGTCTAACCCTTAAAGAAATATCTGGCCACATTTGATTTTAACCTCTTCTTGTCCATCTTCGTTCGTCCGAAATAGTTTTATTTTGGACTAAGCCTTGCACTCGTTTACAGCATAGTTGCGATATTCGTGCTTTACGATCCAAACGTCGAACTTCTCCAAGTATTTGTCAACCGAGTTATTTATGGGAATTTGTCGACCGAGTTGTTTATTTGAATTTGTCGATTGAGTTATTTATTTGAATTTGTCGATTATTTATTTGAATTTGTCGACCGAGTTATTTATTTGAATTTGTCGACCGAGTTATTTATTTGAATTCATCAAAACCTCGCCGTTCAATACTCTACCATTGTAGGAAAAACAAGAAAAGACCCACTGCCTACGCAAAAACATGTCGTAAGAGTCGACTAATTGGGATCTTACTTTGAAGTCGGAAGGCATCCGCCTGAGAGACAAGGAACCAACAGTCTGCATAATATAAGTCTGATCTGTAAAACGGATGCACACGCAACACTTAGGTTTTGGAACGGGACTACAGTCCAGAAGTGGACGAACAACCATAACTTTACACCAGAGTTTACAGCTGGTGAACGCGAAGAAGAAGAAAAAGAATAGTCTACATAAGTTACGCCACTTGACCCTCTCACGATTTCTCTGACGAGAAAGGGGGAAAAAGGGGGGGGGGGGATAAAATGCTCACTTTTCAAGTTGGTAAAACATCAGACCAAGTGCCTCAATCAGACGTTTGCCTCTGTCGCCATCTATATCATCGTCATGTCGTTGTTAACACATAAGGCAGTTCCAGTTGATCTCCATTACTGCCAGTTCGCTGCCTGCCTGTCTGTCAGCATGGCGTCCCATGTCATTTAACATTCCTCCATATCCCTTTCTACCAACCCCGACCAGGATTTTAAAAAGTTATCAACGTCTCTTCGGCTGTGATAATAGTAGGTACCTAGGTCATCATCATCATGTAGCAGGTCCTTTGCAGAACGTCGCTTTCGTCACAGTCTGCCTGAAAGACACTCGGTCTCTCGCCAGCTCTCCCGTCTGATGTACTTTCATACTCAAGGAGTCACTTATATCCTGTGCCCATCTTCGTGCTGGTACCTGGGTACTTTGCTTCAAAAAAATCAACAACAAAATCGTCACGTTCAACAAGCATACGAAAAAGGGGAGCTCTAGGTTATAATTGTGACTAGGTTATGTGCACCATATAAAATGACAGCGTTGCATGCCACCAAGTGCCCTGAAAAAGACTCGTTCATTACTGATGCGATCAAAGAAGTCAGACCCAAATACTGTTCCTAACGGCGACGAAGTCTTTGTCACATTCTCCAAATTATAGCTTTTCGACCGCCCATAAACCTATTCTTGAAACATTCTTCTTCTTCTGATAGTTCATGCTGCGTGGCGTTGGTCAGCAACCATCTATTTCGTGTATTTCCTATCAGTTTTGACACACATGATCTTCCATGCCATGATGTCAAATTGCCCAGCATCTTCTCTCTAGGTCTGTTTTTGCCTCTTTCCTCCTCCAGCTTTCCCACCGTCATGATGTACCCCGGTATTCTCCTTCTCATCACATGTCCAAAGAATGAAGATGTTCTCCTTCTCATCACATGTCCAAAGAATGAAGATGTTCTCCTTCTCATCACATGTCCAAAGAATGAAGATGTTCTCCTTCTCATCACATGTCCAAAGAATGAAGATGTTCTCCTTCTCATCACATGTCCAAAGAATGAAGATGTTCTCCTTCTCATCACATGTCCAAAGAATGAAGATGTTCTCCTTCTCATCACATGTCCAAAGGATGAAGATGTTCTCCTTCTAATCACATGTCCAAAGAATGAAGATGTTCTCCTTCTCATCACATGTCCAAAGAATGAAGATGTTCTCCTTCTCATCACATGTCCAAAGAATGAAGATGTTCTCCTTCTCATCACATGTCCAAAGAATGAAGATGTTTTCCTTCTCATCACATGTCCAAAGAATCAAGATGTTCTCCTTCTCATCACATGTCCAAAGAATGAAGATGTTCTCCTTCTCATCACATGTCCAAAGAATGAAGATGTTCCCCTTCTCATCACATGTTCAAAGAATGAAGATGTTCTCCTTCTCAATACATGTCCAAAGAATGAATATGTTCTCCTTCTCATCACATGTCCAAAGAATGAAGATGTTCTCCTTCTCATCACATGTTAAAGAATGAAGATGTTCTCCTTCTCATCACATGTCCAAAGAATGAAGATGTTCTCCTTCTCATCACATGTCCAAAGAATGAAGATGTTCTCCTTCTCATCACATGTCTAAAGAATGAAGATGTTCTCCTTCTCATCACATGTCCAAAGAATGAAGATGTTCTCCTTCTCCTCACATGTCCAAAGATTGAAGATGTTCTCCTTCTCATCACATGTCCAAAGAATGAAGATGTTCTCCTTCTCCTCACATGTCCAAAGATTGAAGATGTTCTCCTTCTCATCACATGTCCAAAGAATGAAGATGTTCTCCTTCTCATCACATGTCCAAAGAATGAAGATGCTCTCCTTCTCATCACATGTCCAAAGAATCAAGATGTTCTCCTTCTCATCACATGTCCAAAGAATGAAGATGTTCTCCTTCTCATCACATGTCCAAAGAATGAAGATGTTCTCCTTCTCATCACATGCCCAAAGAATGAAGACCATCTCCTTCTCACGAATTTTGCAGAATTCTAGCCCCCCACCCTCCCCCGCCCCTCCTGCAGGTGAGACGTGTACACATTTTACTGACCACCAAGAACCCAGGCTTAAAAAAAATGTTCTAACTTGGCAAGTTCCTCTCGTTATAGTTGATTTATGAGTGTTGATCATTGACCCTCTCAGGGCAAGCCGTGGAAGCTGAAGGTCGTGACAGAGCTAATCTCAACCTGCCCGGCAATCAGTCGGCGCTGCTGACAGATGCCTTGTTGTACAGTAAGTGCCTTGTTAACAACTGTTTAAAATCTGTTACGTTTGTAAGGTTATAGGGTAAAAAGTGCTTAGAGACAAATCCGCTTATTCACTAATAAAGGTTCTGTTTGATGTTATGTTTTGTTATTACATCACTGCACATGCATGCGCAGTCATCCGATGCAGCAGCCACTCTAAGTTACCTCCACTGATTGTTCCCAAGAGGAGCTGGTTATAATGTCTTTTATTTCGGTCTCGAAGGCGTCAACCGTTACTCCCATGTCACGTAATCGTGTTAGTGCAGTGTTTCCCAACCTTTTGTGTGTGCGATGCCCACCTAAGCTTATCAAAAATTCCCATGCGCCCTGTTAACTTCAACTTTGGATGAGTCAATTTTTGGAAACACTGTTTTGGTGTCAAGGATTCTTCTGAGATTGTATTTGATGTTTCAGCTCGCTAGGTCATCTCACCCAGGGGATGATGCATGCATGTCTTAATCGTTCCCACATTTCTAGAAGACATTTGATTCTGAAGCCACGGTTGTAGATTGGTTAGCATTATTGCCTGCTAATCCGGTGGTGACAGGTTCGAATTCGCATTTATAGAACAAATCTGACGTCCTAGGTCGATCCACTTTAAAATAAGATATCATCAAAAGCAAAGATGGCCAGCGAGCTGCCTGCCGTCATATCATCCAGCAAGTTCGAATGGTTGATATTCTAGAAAATATGGAGTTTGCACTATTTGCTTGATGGACCTCAGATAGATAAAATGGACTATTTTTCTTTTGTGTACATCACATTTGATACACTTGTTCTTTTAGTGACGAGGCGAAAGACATTTTCACCATAACGCCAGACGTTTATCTCTTGGCTGCGCTCTAAGTTGATAGTTTTTTTTCCCCTTTGGACTACTACTACTACACTTGTGAGCCACCATGCTTCTTCAGCAGTCACATCTCGGAGGGAAATCCAACAGGGCTATCCAGAAAGCCAGTTCAATCTATTAGGAAGTTATAATGAGGATACCAGTAACAGACTCAATATATACTGCAATATGTACTTGTAGTCCTGTATTTATCTAGTTAATTACTTAGTCAAGGTTCTAGCTTCAGTGCAAAAAGTCATCTAAATAGATGATCCATTCCTGTGCCAGAGAAATGCCCTGCGCTGTCCCATTAAAAAACTTAGGGAAAACTTATCAGTTCCAACAAAGTCTTGCAGACAGCACCCGCAGAGTAAATGCCATATGTGTATGTGTTCTTTTCTTCTGCATTTCATTACATTTTAAGGCTGTGTAGCTTCACAGTTATCAAATCTAAGGATTTACGGCAGCATAACTGGTGCAGTCGCTCAGACTGTGCAGATTAGGGCTTTTATGTTTGCTCCCAAAAGAAAGAAATTCATTACCGTAACGAGGATTTGAACCTGGGTCTCAGGAATGGTCGACTTGTGTTTCAAATTGTTTGACCAACCGCTTCCATGTGTGGGGAAGGATACGAAACTGATGTTCACTTTCGCGTCTTTAAATTCTCGCCAGCAAAACAAATAAATAAATAAGCAAATAAAATCAAATGTATGTAAGTTGTATCCCACCAAGACTTCACACAAGCGATAAACACCCGTTGACACAAATTGCAACCACGCAGATGAGGATCACCCGTGGAGAGGTCTCGGAAACCCCGTTAAGCCATATTTCAGGTCCGGCTATGTTTAGGGCACCCGGCAAAAGGCAGGATGGGGCTTCAAAATCACTAAAAATTGCATCCCGCAGGGGGATGACGAGATTATTTTAATAATCAAATCAAATGCAAAAATTGAGTCAGACAAACAAACAAAACCAAATTTAATAAAAGCGTTTAAAAAAGTGAATTCTTTTGTTAACTTTCAAAGACAGAAATTTACCGCACATGATCTATCTGCCTTTACCTGCAGGTAACAACAGTCCTGTGGTCCTACTCTTGTTTAACGCTGGACCTCTCAACTTGACACTGTTTGACCCGGTAGATCGAATTGTCGCCATTTTGGAGTGTTTTCTGCCGGCCCAGGCTACAGGCGATGCTCTAGCGGCAGTGCTCGTCAACAAGGGAGGCAACAGTAGTCCTGGAGGCAGGCTTCCTATTACATGGCCCAAGTATGAGTCTCATGTAAGTAGACATCTTTCTTTCTTGCCTTTCTGTCTTTCTTTATTTCTGGCTGGGTCTTATGCTATTACTTGCGCGTGCAACTACTGATATATTGTAACTGCTATAACACCTGACAATGAACTACATTTCTAGTGTCCGACTGTTTGTGGCGGCACTTCTGAAGGCTGCCTTACGCGTGCGTTTAATGAATGTGTGTGCTATTGGATTAGCTGAGACCGCAGTCTGAGTCAGTTTTGTTTCCACAAGGGACAGTGACAAACATTCTGTATGGTTTTTCTTGACACCGGGACGGAAACTATAGGGTGACCCGTTTACTTGGAAGCTAGAAGTACGATTACTTTATTTCTTTTCTTTCCTTCTTCCAAACTTAATCAGGCTCAGTCTCTAATTCATTTTATCTGGGATTTTATTTTTTCCTCTTGCTGTATTAATTTAACCAGGTGGGTTCCAGTACAAAAATATTTAAGTTTTACCAATAGAGTCCCTCCGTATGTGTCGTATCCAGGACCTTTCGCTCATTGTTAGGTACCTTAAAGACACTTTAAACGAATACTGACACCAGCAGACCAAAACAACACGAAACATAAGAACACAAGCCCAAACCCTCTGGCATATCCATGTTTAAAAGCAAGTGGGTATTGAGATGAGGCATGTGATCACAGGAGACTCGTTAGGGATTAGCTAAAAATAGAATGTTTTGGATCAAAAGCTGCACATTTCACAGCCTAGCTGTAAATCAAATCATGACGTGCAGACCCTTCAAAGACAAAAACATAAGAAGAAGAAGAAGAAGAAGAAGAAGAAGGAGATCAACCCAAACCCAGAAGATTTACTTCTATCTTGAATTAACTTCCCCAGATTCCACCTATAGTGAACTACGCAATGGCTGGAAGAACTTACCGCTACTCGGAACAAGAAGCCTTGTACCCATTCGGCTACGGCCTTTCCTACACCACCTTTGAATATCCAGTATTAGCTGTATCTTACTTTGACCAGCCTAAACAGAACATCTCCGTAGGAATCGACGTTTCCAACACTGGAAATGTGCAAGCAGACGAGGTAAGATGTATGAAGGGCGGGAGACCAATGATATTATTTTACATAAAATCAGGGCTTGTTTCTAGACAAACAAAAGGTGCCCCTAGCCATCATAAAATCTACATTTATGTAATGACCTTCATAAAATCTACATTTATGTAATGACCTTGGCTTCCAGGTTGACCCAGTCTAAAAAGAGTAACAGCTGGGAAGTAAATGCGGTCGGTCTAATACTGACCAAATCACCCACCGACTGCCGATTGGTTTATAAAATACATGTCTAACTGTTTATGCCTAATAAGCCTGAAGGGAGGGGAAGAAAGTGTCTAATAAGGTGCCAGCGATGGCCCAGAGTGTCTACTACAGTAATGCTAGAAAGAAAACTGTTTACAACAGGTACTTTGTGGGAGATGTTCTCAGCATCACTCCAGCCGCCATTACTTCCCAGGACTGCACCTGGTACCAACCCAAGGCTGGGTCGACTTGGGAGCCAATGCCAATTTTTCAAAGTCCGGCTCTGGCAGGACCCGAACCCACCACCTTCCGATCGGTAGGTGAGCGTCTAACCGCTATACCACGGCGACTCCTGTGAGACCTGACACTGTAGTTTAATTAACTCATACCAAAATCCAGCACTGGTGTTGTACTGAGTACTTTGAAACAAAGCAACCAATCTAATATACAGTAATACAATGGAACAACCAACCAACCAAACCAGCTGGCTAACAGACAATCAAACAACTAAATAACTAACCAACCAGCCAGCTAGCAGACAAATGCTAGAAACTAGCCAACCAAGCTAACAATCAAACAACTAAATAACTAATCAATCAGGTACTAACAGATCAAACAGCTAAATAACTAACCAACCAGCATAACAGCCAATCAAACGCTAAATACTAACCAACCAGCCAGCTAACAGACAATCAAACAACTAAATAACTAACCAACCAGCCAGCTATCAGACAATCAAACAACTAAATAACTGGGTCAGCCACTTAACAGACAATCAAACAACTAAATAACTAGCCAACCAGCCAGCTAACAGACAATCAAACAACCGAACTAGCCACCAGCCACTATCAGACAATGACAATCAAACGGCAGGTAACCAACCAGCCAGCGTCAAACAACTAAATAACTAGCCAACCAGCCAGCTATACTAAATAACTACAACCAGGCGACAATCTGTGAGATAACTAGCCAACCACAGCTAACTTACAATCAAACAACTAAATAACTCAAAAACCAGCAGCTGCAATCAAACAACTGAATAACTTTGAAACAAGCAACCACAGACAATCAAACAGCTAAAAAACTAACCAACCAGCCAGCCAACAGACAATCAAACAACTAAATAACTAGCCAACCAGCCAGCTATCAGACAATGACAATCAAACAACTAAATAACTAGCCAACCAGCCAGCTAACAGACAATCAAACAACTAAATAACTAACCAACCAGCAAGCTAACAGACAATCAAACAACTAAATAACTAACCAACCAGCCAGCCAACAGACTATCAAACAACTAAATAACTAACCAACCAGCCAGCTAACAAACAATCAAACAACTAAATAACTAACCAATCAGCCAGCTAACAAACAATCAAACAACTAAATAACTAACAACCAGCCAGATAACAAACAATCAGCTACTAATCAACAGCCAGCTAACAAACAACAAATAACTAAATAACTAATCAATCAGCCAGCTAACAGACAATCAAACAACTAAATAACTAACAACCAGCCAGCTAACAGACAATCAAACAACTAAATAACTAACCAACCAGCCAGCCAACAAACAATCAAACAACTAAATAACTAACCAACCAGCCAGATAACAAACAATCAAACAACTAAATAACTAACAACCAGCCAGATAACAAACAATCAAACAACTAAATAACTAACCAACCAGCCAGATAACAAACAATCAAACAACTAAATAACTAACCAACCAGCCAGATAACAGACAATCAAACAACTAAATAACTAACCAACCAGCCAGATAACAAACAATCAAACAACTAAATAACTAACAACCAGCCAGATAGCAAACAATCAAACAACTAAATAACTAACCAACCAGCCAGCTAACAGACAATGACAGTCAAACAACTAAATAACTAATCAACCAGCCAGACAACAAACAATCAAACAACTAAATAACTCACCAACCAGCCAGTTAACAGACAATCAATAAACTAAATAACAAACCAACTAGCCAGCTAACCAAGTGTCTGAACCTTCCTCAGGTGGTACAGTGCTACTTTGTCTGGGAGAACAAGACCCTACCTGTTCCACTCATTCAACTGATCTACTTCAACAGAATAAACCTGCCACCTGGTGGGCAACAGAGTCTCAGGTTTAATGTCACCTGGGACAAGTGGGCTTTCTGGGACGGTCAGCAGTGGTCAGTTGATACAGGTGAGAGTCATTATTCTTATTTTTCAGGTTGGATTACCCTCTGGGCCCACTGCACTGGGTTCAAGTCTGTTGACAAAGATGCCTCAAACATATGGAGGAGACTTGACTATCTTGGTCTTTATGTTATTTAGATGCTAGCCTGCATAAGAATGTCAAGTAAATCAGAATTTGTTTTTAAATGTCAGTGGTGCATCAGATATATTTTCTTCTTGTTTGCGATCACCAGCTGTAAAGACTAGCGGAAAGTTCTAGTTGTTTGTTCACTTCAGGACTTTAGTCATGTTTCAGTGCTTGAGAATTGCATGTACATCAGTTTTAAAGATCTGGCTAATTTGTGTGCAGTCTGGTGGTTGCTTACCTCTCAGCCAAACTCCCTCCAACTTCGAAGGAAACACCCCTAATTAGCCAACTTTTACAATATGTTTGTTGGAAATATAAAGGGGGGTGGGGGGGGTGGGGGGGGGGGGGGGGTGCAGTGAGTTTATTCATGTTTCCCCCACTATGGGGCCTGGAACCCACACAGGGAACTTTGCGTACAGGATGCTGGACTCATATTTGTTGTTGACCATTCAGCACTCGGTTGGTATTAGGGTCAACATCACACTGACCACAGTCAGCCGGTATGTGCTGTCCTGAATTACAAACTGGCTGTACTTGAGTATTTCTCCGCATTGTGGAGTTGCAGTTCCAACCTTAGCTGACCAACCAGGCAGCCAGCCAACCAACCATCCAAACTTTCAACCAGCCAAACAACCATTCAACAACCAACCAACATTTCAACGAGTCAACAAACAACCAACCAAATAATCAAACATCTCAGCCAACTAACCAACCCAGTCATGTTCCGTGTTCCCGTTATAGTCAATGTATAGGACCCTTTTTCACTCCTTTAGGCGTATAGGGCATATAGGGCTAGACCTATATTCTATAGACCAAATGGCACTTGGTGGGTGATGAGGTCAGCATCATGCCAGCCGCCTTTACTTCCCAGAACTGTACCTGGTAACCACTCAAGGCTGGGTCAACCTGGGAGCCAAAGTCATTTAAAAAAAAAGTCAGGCCCTCTTTAGGAACCGAACCCATGACCTTCCGATCCACAGAAGAGCGTCTAGCCGCTAGACCATGGCAGCTCCCCAAGAAAGTCTGGTTACATTCGGATTTGAACCCACGACCTTAAAATTGACAGGAAATGTCTAGCTGCTACACCACGGTGGTTTTCCATGTTCCTATTTTATTAAAAATTATTGTTTACCTTTTAACCAGCCTGTTGCCCATCGATCTTTGATGTCTTCATTATGTCATTCATGCATACTTTATGTTCCCACATACAGGCCTCATAGATCTTTGATGTCTCCATTGTGTCATGCCTTCATACTTTATGTTCCCATATACAGGTCTCATAGATCTTTGATGTCTCCATTATGTCATACCTGCATACTTTATGTTCCCACATACAGGCCTCATAGATCTTTGATGTCTCCATTGTGTCATGCCTTCATACTTTATGTTCCCACATACAGGTCTCATAGATCTTTGATGTCTCCATTATGTCATTCATGCATACTTTATGTTCCCACATACAGGTCTCATAGATCGTTGATGTCTCCATTGTGTCATGCCTGCATACTTTATGTTCCCACATACAGGTCTCATAGATCTTTGATGTCTCCATTGTGTCATGCCTGTATACTTTATGTTCCCACATACAGGTCTCATAGATCTTTGATGTCTCCATTGTGTCATCCATGCATTCTTTATGTTCCCACATACAGGCCTCATAGATCTTTGATGTCTCCATTGTGTCATGCCTTCATACTTTATGTTCCCACATACAGGTCTCATAGATCTTTGATGTCTCCATTATGTCATACTTTATTCATGCATATCTTTGATGTTATTATGTTCCCACATACAGGTCTCATAGATCGTTGATGTCTCCATTATGTCATACCTGCATACTTTATGTTCCCACATACAGGTCTCATAGATCTTTGATATCTCCATTGTGTCATCCATGCATTCTTTATGTTCCCACATACAGGCCTCATAGATCTTTGATGTCTCCATTGTGTCATGTCTTCATACTTTATGTTCCCATATACAGGTCTCATAGATCTTTGATGTCTCCATTGTGTCATGCCTTCATACTTTATGTTCCCATATACAGGTCTCATAGATCTTTGATGTCTCCATTGTGTCATGCCTTCATACTTTATGTTCCCACATACAGGCCTCATAGATCTTAGATGTCTCCATTGTGTCATGCCTTCATACTTTATGTTCCCACATACAGGTCTCATAGATCTTTGATGTCTCCATTGTGTCATGCCTGTATACTTTATGTTCCCACATACAGACCTCATAGATCTTTGATGTCTCCATTATGTCATGCCTGCATAATTTATGTTCCCACATACAGGTCTCATAGATCTTTGATGTCTCCATTGTGTCATGCCTGTATACTTTATGTTCCCATATACAGGCCTCATAGATCTTTGATGTCTCCATTGTGTCATGCCTTCATACTTTATGTTCCCATATACAGGCCTCATTGATCTTTGATGTCTCCATTGTGTCATGTATTCATACTTTATGTTCCCACATACAGGCCTCATAGATCTTTGATGTCTCCATTGTGTCATGCCTGCATACTTTATGTTCCCACATACAGGCCTCATAGATCTTTGATGTCTCCATTGTGTCATGCCTGTATACTTTATGTTCCCATATACAGGTCTCATAGATCTTTGATGTCTCCATTGTGTCATGCCTGTATACTTTATGTTCCCATATACAGGCCTCATAGATCTTTGATGTCTCCATTGTGTCATGCCTGCATACTTTATGTTCCCACATACAGGTCTCATAGATCTTTACTGTGGGGGTCAGCAGCCCAACCAGAACAAAGCCGCCCCGTCCAATGTTCTAGAAGTCCAGTTTCAAGTCTACGGTGACCAGGCAATCAGTAAACAGCATAAACATCATCATGAGCCATTACATGTCGACAGACCGGTGGCAAAAGAACATGTTGTGAAAGCTTTTCATCATCCAAAATAGATATAATGATAATGTTTAGGTTCAGACTAATCGGACATTTAATGATAATGTTAAGGTTCAAACTAATTGGACATTTAATGATAATGTTAAGGTTCAGACTAATCAGACATTTAATGATAATGTTAAGGTTCAAACTAATTGGATATTTAATGATAATATTTTGGTTCAAACTAATTGGACATTTAATGATATAATGATAATTTTAAGGTTCAGACTAATCGGACATTTAATGATAATGTTAAGGTTCAAACTAATCGGGCATTTAATGATAATGTTAAGGTTCAAACTAATTGGACACATAATGATAATGTTAAAGTTCAAACTAATTGGACATTTAATGATAATGTTAAGGTTCAAACTAATTGGACATTTAATGATAATGTTAAGGTTCAAACTAATTGGACATTTAATGATAATGTTAAGGTTCAAACTAATTGGACATTTAATGATAATGTTAAGGTTCAAACTAATTAGACATTTAATGATAATGTTAAGGTTCAAACTAATTGGACATTTAATAATAATGTTAAGGTTCAAACTAACTGGACAAGTGAAAGCATAAACTTTTTAACTATTTGTATCACATGTGTTCTCTTAATACTTTATATTTGGTTGAAACAAAACTTAACAAGAAATCTGTCTTTTACACAGTGTGTTTGCTCAGTGGCAATTAGTATTTTTCTTTGTAGTATTAACTTCTTATGGCGTGTGTCTGGAAATCTTCTATCTTTGAAACAGTAAAAAGTAAAAGAAAATTTATTGTACGTGGCAATTTCAAGACATTTCACATCAATTTTAATTATAAATAATAAATACCCTTCTTTCTTCTTTGCAACCAATGTGACTTAACGATAATCCACAGTTAAGATCACACAAAAATAAGTAATTTCAAATGGGGAATAATGAAAGAAAACTACATTAGTAAGGTCAGAAAACCTCATGGAACTGAATGCCTCGAGCACAGCCGGGTCTAATTAAATGTATACAGATTTCATTTGTGTGTTTCATGTATTTCTCAAAAATGACCTTGACTGCCAGGTTGACCCAGCCTTGAGTGGGTACCGGGTGCAGTCCCGGAAAGAAAAGGCGGCCGGCGTGATGCTGACCACATCACCCATCTTGTGCCGATTGGTCTATAAAATTTAGGTCTAGCCCTATACGCTTAAAGGCGTGGAAAAATGGTCCTTTACTTTTTTTTTAATGTACAATTTTAATAACCAGTTTCAATGAAAATAGTGTTGAAACGAAAAAATAAAATAACTTATGACCAGTTCAATAGTCGAAACAGAACTCAGTCGCAAATCAAGGAGACCCTATAACTGGTTAATATTAACACCGATTCCTTATCCGCACTGGACTGCAGGCAAAACGCAGCTAGTGTGGTCACTACAGGCTTGTTGGGCTTGCCATCCAAACTGAGATTTTGTCATCTCAGAGTGCTAAACTTTCAGGTAGCAGCCCAGAGAGGGAAGTGGAAGGAAAAAGGAAAAAAAGCTGATTTACTGGCCCGCTGCTTACTGAAGTCTTGGTTTGGGTTGCTCTTGGTCATCTGTTATTGTTGAGTGTAGGTGACATTAACATTGTTGTGGTCACCTATACTGGCATGTGTCTGCCTGCACACATACACATACACATACGGATGATGATCAGTCAACAAGTCCTTCCGTCACTCTATTTCTCTAGCCAATTCTCCAGCCTTATGTGATTTCAAAGTCAATGCATCTTTAACAACCTGTATCCAACTTCATGGAAGTCTGCCCCTGCCTTGTTTTCTGGAAACTATATCCTCTATCACCGTTCTCTCCAAGGCACCATGGTGCTGAACATGGCCAAAATAGCTCAGCTTTCATTTGGTGGATGCTGTTTATGAGCCAGTTCTCCTTGATGCTCACATCAAGTAGGATGTTGGTGTTTTTCTCTTCCTCTTGGTCAATGGCATTATCAGATGTTTCTGTAGCATTGACATGTATTGATAGACACTCTGTTTGCTCCAGTAGGGTTGCTGTGTGCCTAGTTTCCAGAATAATCACAAGATGATAGATTATATCTAAGTAACTTTCAATATTGTATATACATTTATAAAAGTGTAAAATAATAAAATTGTCTTCTTATCATTGCTCAACCTTTCTTTTCCAGTCAATATTGTGACTTTTATTGTTGTTATTGTGCAGTATTAATTTATTCACACACACACACACTGAATGACTAAAAGCACTATGCCCAATGACTAAAAGCACGATGCACAATGACTAAAAGCACAATGCACAATGACTAAAAGCACTATGCCCAATGACTAAAAGCACTATGCCCAATGACTAAAAGCACTACGCCCAATGACTAAAAGCACTATGCCCAATGACTAAAAGCACTACGCCCAATGACTAAAAGCACTACGCCCAATGACTAAAAGCAATTCGCCCAATGACTAAAAGCACTATGCCAAATGACTAAAAGCACTATGCCCAATGACTATAAGCACTACGCCCAATGGTTAAAAGCACTAAGCCCAATGACTAAAAGCACTACACCCAATGACTAAAGCACCCAATGACTAAAAGCACTACACTACGCCCAATGACTAAAAGCACAACGCCCAATGACTAAAAGCACTACTAAAAGCACTATGCCAAATGACTAAAAGCACTATGCCCAATGACTATAAGCACTACGCCCAATGGTTAAAAGCACTAAGCCCAATGACTAAAAGCACTACACCCAATGACTAAAAGCACTACCCCCAATGACTAAAAGCACTATGCCCAATGACTAAAAGCACTATGTCCAATGACTATAAGCACTACGCCCAATGTCTAAAAGCACTATGCCCAGTGACTAAAAGCACAACGCCCAATGACTAACAGCACTATGCCATCATTATAAGGGGTCAGTGCTCTTGTCATCAAAACCATTTTTTTCCACTAAAATCTTGTCAGTTGTCACCAGGTTTTCTAGTTTACTTCTTCTCATAAGATGTTGAGATGCTCGCCCAGGCTTGGTTGCATCTCCACAGACAAGGAAAGCAAATATTCTGAGCAGGCATCTAAGTTTTCCATGCAGAAAAAGCTGAGGTGTTAGTATCCAGTTCAGTAATGGAACTTTAGGTAAAAAAAAAAATTATATATCCACTATAGTGGCTGCCAGTCACAGCTGCCTGTGATATAATCATCATCATGTAGCAGGTTGTTCGCAGAATGATATAACCCCCCCCCCCCCCCCCCCCCCCCCCCCCCCCCCCCCCCGCCCCCCCCCCCCCCCCCCCCCCCCCGCCCCCCCCCCCCCCCCCCCCACCCCCCCCCCCCCCCCCAAAAAAAAAAAAAAAAAAAGAATCCACTGAAACATGGGTCCTGGCCTAAGTTTGTGGTTCAATCGAATCCTGCTTGTCTGAAATTGAAAAAAAGGATCCATGATTGTAGTCTCTCTCTTTCCAGATGCTTAGAATATTCTAAGCATGTGTCTAGACTTCCTTTCTCAAAGTCCATGTCATGTGGTGTTGGTAGTCATGTCTATCCACAACCTTCTGTCTCGTGTACTTTCAGTCAACTCTGATATAGATGATCCTCCATTCCATGATGTTAAACTATCTGGCATATTTTCTCTTGGTCTCCCTCTGCCTCTTCTCCCCTCCAACTTTCCTACTGTCAGGATATACTCCAGTTTTCTCCTTCTCATCACATTACCAAAGAATGAAGATTGTCTCTTTCTGATGTGGGCAATCAGTTCTCTTTGTGCATCAGTTTCTTTCAAGACATCTTCATTACTCATTTTATCTGTCCAGTGTATTATCATAATTCATCTATAAAACCACATCTCCGCAGGTTCCAAATAATTTTTCAGTAATCTACCAACAGTCCATGATTCACATCTGTATATCAAGATAAGATTTATACAGCTTTTAAGAATTCTGTTTTTCATCCCAACTGACAAACAAGGATTGCATAAAATCTTGTGAAAAATGTCTTATCCTTAAATACGTACGCTAAAGACAGAAGATATAAACAAAAACAAGGTTAGATAGTAAGCTGGTTGTTATTTTATGTTAATGATAAAATCTTTCATGAGTTTATACAGCAAAAAAGCAACACAATAATAATTAAAAATAAAAACAGTCATTATATTACACCAATGATTGTACTAAAAATGAGCCATACAGGATGGGTTCGAAGACAATGGTTGGAGTCTGAGGAAATCTCGTCTGACAGGAATCAGTTTCATTTTTTGTGCCAGGACGCTCTAGGATAGGCAATGAACAAGCTTGCTGGCAGGGCCACGGTAGGCACAGGAAAAGCAATGGACTGGGTCGATGTTCCCAATACTCTCAAGGAAGCAGTAGGTGATTGATGGGGATGACAGTGAATTGATAACCATGACAAAGGTACACAAACTTCATGTCACAAAGGTGCTGCCAGACAAGACCACTATAGAGGTAGTCAAAGATGGGTAGTAAGCCTTCAAAGTACTGGTGTTATCAGTCAGAACATGCCGAAACACACAGTTAAGATAGGATCCAAGTGGTTACAGACTTGTCTATTGTGCAATGAGGTTGATTGATGGGTTAACTAACTAAAACTTAATACAGAGATCAACAAAGTACGTGTTAAAATGTCATCAAATATGATCATGGTGGAGTAGTTGAAAAATACTACATCCATCCCTGTCATGAGCAGAGATACATTTATAATGTGGAATTTTGAGATCTTTACAAATAAAAAAAAAAATTTAAAAATCCACATGTAACAAAACTACACAGTTCAATACTTATACATCATCATCACCATCCTCGTGCTGTTTAGACAACTGTCAACAATGTTCGTCCTAGGTTTTATGTAGATATATGTGTTTCCTAGATTAATTTATTTCACAGTTAAGTGCCTGTTTGGTGGTTCTTTGATTTATTTTTAGAATATACCCAATATATCGTTGTCTATTTTGTCTGATAGTTGTTTATATCAACAGTTGTGCAGATATTTCTCTTATTTCTTTGTCTCTTTTTAATTCTTCCCATTTAATAGTCATCAACTTCCTCACTTCATTTGTTTTCAAATGTATTGAACTTTTATTCCCTGTCTGTAGTAGTTCTACAACTTTCATTTTTATACACTGAAAGTGAAATAGCAAAAGAATTGAAAATATGTGTAACTGATTTCAAAACTATTAAGTCATTCATTTCGTTCACTATCCTATTGTGCCATTATAGTGTTCACGATTCTTTCCTCCATTGCATTTTATCCGGTGTGATCAATTCAATATCAAGGATGGAATCTACTCCAGCAGCTTTGGCCTCTCTCAATAACTTCTGACTTAGGGTTTCTCTTGGGCATCCTCACCTCCTCAATCCCTTTATTTCCCATTGTAATGCCTGTTGGGTGATATTTTGCTGGTTTCTTCTCAGAATGTGTCCAGTGTAGCGCCATCTTCTCTGTCATATAACTGTTGATACTAGTGGTAGCCCAGATACTTCTTTTATTTCTTCACTCCCTTTGAATTCCTCCCATTTCATTTTTATCATTTTTCTTCAGACATTTGTTTTCGACTGCATAACTCTTTCATTCCATGTCTTTAGTGTTTCTCCAACTTTCACTTGCATATGTTAAAATTGAAATAACATTATAATTGAAAATACGTAACTTGGTTTTAAAACTATACAATTTAGAGTTCGTTATTTAATTCAAGCTATTAAAACTATAGATACAATTAGTATAGTAACTGTACAACTATTGCATAGTTATACAAGTTAAAAGAACTTGTATAACTAAAACAGTACATGTGCAAAACTGCAATGCATATACAACTTGTGCAACACTAATATGGTAGTACCTAAGCAAGTGACCGCAGCAGTTCTTCCAGGCTTGATGCATACAACAGAGAGCTGATAGCACAAGTCTGCCAGGAACAGCCCTCAGCTAGGCTGTTCTGATGACTTTGAATGTTTTTGTGAGAACGTTGGAGGGCACTTGTTTCTTCTGGAACGGTTGCTGCCCACCACAGAAGATGTTCATGATACCTGCAATAAATGAGAGAGACATTATTCTATTTTAATATACTTGTTGAAACGAAACAAAAGAAAACACTTTTATTTTCAGTTTCATTTGTATGTATTTTAAGTGAACAGTCTCATTAAATCAGTTATTTCCTTCTTCGCGTTCGCTGGTTGTAAACTCCGGCGGAAAAGTTCTGCATGCTTATTCACTTCTAGGCTCTGGTCTTGTTTTAGAGTTTTGCATACACATCTGTTTTACAGATCGGACTTTTCTGCATGCAGACTGCTGGTTTCTTCCCTCTCTGGCAGATGCACTCTGATTTAAAAAGAGACACCCCTAATTAGTTGACATTTACAAGATGCCTGTTGGCAGAGTAGTGGGTCTATCCCCCCCCCCCCCCCCCCCCAATAGGGCCCAAGAAGAGTAAAAGTGAAGTAGTGCTAAGATATCTGGCAATGATGTGATAGGTTTTCATCTATTCTAGGCCACAATCAATCAAATCAGGTGGTCAGTTACCAGCTCTGCCTTCTGAGTGGTTTTATGAGGCCAGGCTAAACCGAGAAAAGGGTTTTATTACAAGAAAAAACAATCCTGCTTCTGCTGGGGATCAACCTCCAGACCACTATATCTCCACACGAAGGTGCTCTAAACACTCTACCACCACTGCATGGCAATAAGACAATTTTCATGACCAATAACAAGCAAAGAAAGAAATGTAACATAAATATCTCTCTCTCTCTGTGTCTCTCTCTCTCTCACGCACATACACACACATCCACCCACCTACACACACACACAAAATTAATATATGATCATAATCATCATCAAGTGCCTTGTTGATTGGTATGGGTGATTATTCTTCTCCACAATCTGTGAACAGCATTTATCAGTTTCTGTGTTGACACCCCCTTCATGCCAAAAAGTTATTAAGAAACTTCTCATGTTGTTTTACTTTGGCTCTTTTTTCACAGATCTTTTCAGCGGTCACAACATATTCCAGTTTCCTTTTTCTCATAACATGAGGACTGTCTCTTTATGATTTTTGTGATAAGTTATCTTTGCACCCTCGCCTCTTTCAAAACATCTCCTTTGCTTTTTTTTTTTTTTTTTTTTTTGCTTTCCAAAGAGTTCTACATCTACAAGGCCTCAAGAAACTGTTTGGCTCAATTACTAATTATCCATGCTTCATAGACGTGTATTAAAACTGGCTCTATATAGCATGTGAAAATTCTGTTCCTAACCTCCAATGGCATGGATTTAGAGAATAAAATGTTCTTCATTTTATATAATACAGTTTTGACCTGTCCTATTCTATTATTTATGTCTCTGATTCATCTTCCGTTAGATTTTACCCATGCACACAGATTCTTGTAATTTCACGCACACACGCACGCGCTCGCACACACACATTACAAATGGCCGAACCTGACTGAACAGTCCATTCTCCATGACTCCAGTAGGCCCAGTTCTCCCAGGAGACAGTAAATGTATGATTCACCTGATGCCTGGCAGCCACAGGGAGACGAGTGAAATAGACCAACTGTCTCACAGGCACAGGAAGAGACTGATTGCCCCAAGAGATATAACACTGGAGCACCTGCAATTCCGTGAACACAATGGGTGTGAATATTTGAAGAAACGTACTATATTTGCCTGTGTGTCTGATGGTCTAGGGTTCAAAGATGCATTGAGGCAGATATTTTCATGTTTATCTTTGTGTTTATTGTGCTACATCTGTGAAAGTAGTTCACAAGATACATGGTCTAGTAGGTCAGGAGAAAAAGAACACTTTCTCACAAGATAAAGAAAAAACATTTAAAAAAGAAAACATTTGTAAAACAAACAAAAACTTTCAGTAAGAATATACTTGTAATCAGAATACTTTAAGAAGAAAAAACTTTCAATAAGAATACATTGTTAATTTAAAAAAAAACATTTTAGTAAAAACCTGAAAATAAAAATACTTTTAAATATGAAAACACAGCTTAATAAGAAAACACTTTTCATTAAAAAAAAAAAAAAAAAAAAAAACCACACCACCACGGTTCAAATAAGAAAAAACTTTTATAAGGAAATTGTTAAATAAAAATATACTTTCAATTAAAAAAATCTTTTTATAAGAAAAAACTTTTAATAAGTAAACAATTTTTAATAACTATACACTTTTTTAAGGAAACAATATTATTAAGAAAACACTTTTAACAAGGCAACAAAATTAATAAGAAAACACTTTTATTAAAGAAACAATATTAATAAGAAACACTTTTAATAAAGAAACAATATTAATAAGAAAACACTTTTAATAGGCAAGCACTTCTAAAAAGACAACACTTTACCTCATCAGCAGTAAAATCTCCAACATTTTTCAGCAGAACAGCAACTGTCAGATTCTGTTGCGGTTGCAGGACTAGGTCACTCAAGACCAAATCCATATATACAAAACGAGTATAGGATAATCCATACCCAAATGGATATAGTGGGTCTGTTTTCAAGTATCGATAGGTCCTCCCTTCCATGGAATAGTTGACCATAGGGGGAATCTAGAAAAGAATTAAAAAGATATGTTTACCCTCCAAAGTCGTTGTCTGTTTAAATCCACCCACTAACCAGGATTATGCATCTGTTTCGTAACAGAATGTGATTTTACAAAGATGTGGTGTTTGTGCCCGTGCTTCAACCCCCAACCTGCAGAAACAGGGTGCCTTTCTTTGTTCCTAACTATAGGACTCGTCTGGATGGGATTTTCTCTATAGGTACCTTTGCTACTGTGGACATAGCAGTTCAGGTAATTGAGATGCTAAAGTTCCTCCACCATGACAAGGTGGAGACAACTCTGGGGGAGTAAACTACAAGCAAGAGGCAGACCAAGAATACTGGAATTATAACATTCAAGTGAACATACAAACACTTGAAACCATCAGCTGGAAAGAGAAGACCAATCAAGAAATAAATTCGTTTGATTTTCACTGGCAAAAGAACAGAGCAAAAACCTTGACTAAGACTAAAACTAAATGGATGATGTGACCAATATCATGATGGCTTCTTTTACTACCACAAATATTTTCTGGGGCCTATTTAAGCCAGGTTCCATCTGGATGCGATTTGACGGCAGCGAATCACCAGACAGTATTGATACCTACACAATACAGTACTTGCTGGTCCTTTTGAAGGATAAGCAGCGTCAGAACTAAAGCATTCTTTGCAGCGAGAGGACTTCTCCGCAATTGTCATCAGATAGGATTGAAACCTACACAACACAATAAAATATCTGCTGGTCCTTTTGAGGATAGGCAGCATCAGAACCAAAGCATTTATCAGAGCGAGAGGCCTTCTCCACAATCACCATGTCTCGAAGAAACAAACCCAACGGCAAGCGCAACAGACAGAGGAAACAACCCACTGACCGATCCACCCGATCCAACTCGGCAGCCAGGCAGACGGAGACAGTTACTGCCGGATCAAAGGAAGATGCCCCGACTACTAGTGAGGCCCTGAGTGACGTTCCAGCGTCACCTGAACCAACACGGCCAACTCCAGAAACATCTCCAGATCGACGAAAGACAGGCAGCCATGAATTTCCTGCCACAATATTCCTCCGACAGACCAGCCTGGGCCGGACAGCAATCACCACACTAGCAACACTAACGTTGATCAGTATGCTGGAGATCATGTTAGGCAAGAGGGCGGTCGCAAAAATTAGAAAAACTCTAGAAGTGATAGCTTCACTAAACAGAACCAACTGTACCTCAGACAAGCTGGATGACATCCAACACGACGGCAAGAAAGAACTCCGACTGTCTGAGGAGATAACTGTGACGGCTACAATCTTCCAGAATGTAAGACGCTGGGTGATCTGAAGAGTCAGCCTGCAATGGAGCAACAAAGAAATACTACAACAAATAAGGAATGATAACCCTAGTATCACAATCAACCAAGCAGAGAGACTGGGCTCAAAATTACATCCACTACCAGTAGCGGTGATAACATCAGAAGGAGAAGACATCCCGGATAAGGTCTACTTAAATCAAAGAATGCAAAGACCAGAGCAATACGTACCACAGGTGATCCAGTGCTCTTGTTGTCAAAAAAGCCTGGCACTCCCGAGCCACTTGTGTGAGCAAACAAGAAGTATGCCGATACTGTTCAGAACCACATGCCTTCAACAATTGACCTCTGGCAAAGCTGGAAACAGACCTCAGGTCTCCAAATCCAAGCAGGAAGTGTGCGAACTGCTACGCTTAGCACAGCGGCAGATACCTGGGGTGCCCCTATCTTCAACAATGCTGAGACATAGCAACCACGGCCATACGGGAAAAAATTCCATATCATGAGGCCCGCAGAAGACACGAAGCAACAAAAGGCATAACGACAGCCATCGCCACCAAACTGAACAACGAAATGGATCTACTCAAAAGTGACATCCAAGCTCTCAGAGACAAGAAAGAAGCATCCAAATCCCAACGAGATGAAGACAGAGATGAAATAACAAGCCTGAGAGCTATCATGCAGGCGACTCTTGACACCCAGAAACGGATGGCAACAGAGATGACGAATTTCAAGGAGGACATCATGAATGCACTGGCTTCTATCCAGACACAGAAGGAACAGCCAACTAAAGCAAAGGAAGACGAGACAAGTATCACTGATTTGTGGGAGACCCAACAGCTTCTCGCGAAAGAAGTTGCAATGATCAATAAAGCACTTGCTGAAACAGAGGAAAAGTTACGCAGAGCATACGAAGAAAAAAACAGACTTAGCAAGGAAATACAAGCAACCAACAGAGTTATGGAGGAAAGAGAGAAAGCACGAAAAGAAGCAGCAAGAAGGCAGCAAATACAGTCACCAAAACCTCAGGGAGCCGAGACCCAGAAAAAGCCATATCAAATATCTGACAAGAAAATACCGACGCCGCTGACGGGGCAGTTTTCGAGCGAAACCACTATACAAATAAACCAACGCATTAGGGAGCTAGAGGATCTGAACTACTTTAACACAGAATTTCAAGAGTATGATGTACCATGGTCATCACCAGAAGAACCGTTCCGACAGCCAAAACCTGAAGTCAAACGAGGTCGATACCGTTACCACAAACATTAATGCCAAGAGACAACACCACCAACGCCAAAACTACCTAAACCCTATGTAGAAGAAGCACTTTACAACACGGATACCAGAAGACCACCAAATAACATCAGACCCCACCAATATTTCCTTCAGCACCTGCCCAAAGCAAGCAACCGCCGATCCTTCTTAGGATAGGCAATCCCCTCTCCTCGGAAACAGCAAACGGCCAATGAAATCCACACAAAATCAACTCAACATCCAATGATTTGGAGCGCAGCACAGGGCCAGCCAAGTTACGAAAGCAGACAATCGAGTGGAAAGCACAACAAATAGCAAGCCACAAATACTGAACACAATCCAAAACCAAAAAAGATCGAGACCAGAAACGTCACCACAAATATAGCAGACAGGAAAGAGAGCAGAAATGTGATCTGACCTAGCTGAAAGTGGTCAACGTAAGAGAATTAGAATATAAAAAATGGAAGCTGAAATGAATTTTCAAAATGTGCCTCAATTTGAATTTTCAAAATCTGCCTGAATGGTAACTGTAATGATTTGGCTGATAGGTAAGGGTGCTAGCCACTATGATTGCTGCCATCTTGAAGAACTAACAGTTATAACTCACCTGCCAGTCAAACCTGGGCCAGGTCATGGGCAATCTGCCAGCAGGGCTGCTGTTGCCTCCTCTGTTGGACAGCACCGCAGCCAGGGCATCTCCTGCAGCCTGAGCTGGGAAGAAGCACTCCATGATGGCACTGACACGATCGGATTCATCGAAGACAGAGATGTTTAGAGGTCCAGCATTCATTAGCAGCAGAATGATTCTGGCATGGGGATCTGTAAACAGATGGAAGGATTTTGTGGGAGTAAGTGTATGAAGCATAAGGTAGCCTCATACGAGATACTGTTGGTGGTGGGGAGGGAAGTGTCAGACCTGAACACATTCTAGTATAGCAGGCAACCGTCAGTCCCTGGGAATCAAGGAGTAGTTCCGCTGCTTTTGGGAACAGCGTCTGCTATGACTGTAAAGTCCAACACGGAAGTGGTAGTCTCTACAACATAGTCCGCATAATAATTGTGATACTCTTAACGTTTTGAGGCTGGCTATCTCTCAGAGTCTACTTTCTAGTATGTCTAATGTCTTTCTTTATAACGAGTCCCTTGGTTGAACTGACTGTGGTGATGAAAAATAAAACACCACATCTAGGTTATATTTAATCGTTTACTTCAATCTGGAACTGCCATTCTGTGAAGAAGGCATTTTATGCCTTAAACACATGTGGCATATTGTGTTAGACATGATCAATTCACTAATATGAACTCAGGAGAGGAGCTAGTCAATGAAGGAACCAAACTTGACTTAGTGGCGGTCAAGGCCATCATGACAGAGGCTCTTGTCCAGCTCTGGCTATTTAAAGTACATGTGGTGAATATGTCGCAACAAGTAAACACAAGCCGGCTTACTGAATGACAATGTGTCCTGTAACAGCAGCTGTTGCTTCCCTGGTAGATTGACATCAGGTCTGTCTGTATCTTCTGACTCAAGCACCTGACCTGGAAACACACAATTAATTACATCATGACTAATCAATGATCTCATCATTACCAACATCTGATACAGGGATCTCCTAATTGTGGGTCATGATTTACTTCATTCAATAACCACAAGTAAGTGACAAGCATAAACATCCAATACTGAAGAAAGAAAAACTCTATATATCTCAATTATAACTCAGATAGCTTGAACAGGATACTGTTGTATGAATTGCTGCTGCTGCTGCTACTACTACTATGACCAAGTATTTTCTGGGGGCGCCAGAGTTATATGCAGTTTCATTAAATGAAATTAGTTACAACCTGTCAACATTACCACATTTTAAACATTGTGTTTTACTTTACTTTTTACTCTGGTCAGCCTCAAATATTTATTACAAACATCATTTTAAATCTTTATTCAGTCCCTAAATATACAGAACTTAATGGAACGGTCAAGAAACATTTACTGAATTTACAGGGGTCTCAGTCTTATCCATACCCTTTGAGAAGCAAGCCTAACCCAGACAGAGCCCCATGACAAGTACTGTAGCTGGATTATCAACTTATTTACCTGTTCCTAAAATGACAAAAATCAGGTCAGCTCCACTGGCAACTCTCTTGACCACACTGGAGTTGTATATTTTACAAGGTGTCCCATCCTCACAGGCAGTTCCATTGACAAGTTTAGGGAACAGCAATTTTAAACCTTCAACTGGTGTCTTGGTAAAACTTCTCCCCTGATTTGGACTGTAGTTGCCAAAAAGCTGGCTAATGTTATTAGCCATTGGACCAATCACCTGTAGTAAATAAAGCTCAAATAAGAACATGTTACAGAGAACAGACTAGCATGGATTTTAATGCCTATCATTCTTGCTGAAGAGTTAATCAGATCAGTTCCTATAAGATCACAGGTAATCAGGTAATCGCAGTTCCAACTTCAAAGCAAACAGGCCACCCCATAGCTACTTCGTTCCTGTGCCGACAAAAACCACACATAATTTCTATCACTGTCCCCTGTGAAATTTTTGAAAACAGAGTTTTACGATGAATCTTTGAACCCATCAGTAATGCAAACAGGGTGGATGGAGAGTGAGAAGCAACAACAAAATTCATAATCTGTTTAACTGGCATCATGAGAGCTAACAGACTGAAATGGTTGCGGCATATTGAAAGAATGTTAGATGACAGAAAAGTTAAAACTGTATACACGAGGGAGATGAATGGTCGTAGACCAGGAGGCAAACCAAGAAGACGATGGAGAGATAATATCCAGACAGACGTACAAACACTTGGTGTCACCAACTGGAAAGAGAAGGCCAACCATAGAGATGAATGGAGGCGGGTGATATCTGCAGCAATGAATCTCAAGGGATCAGAATGCTGAAGAAGAAGTCCCCTGTGAATAAAAAACTGACACACATTGCTAGCAACATATTTGATTTGATTTTGATTGCTAACAACACATATGTGCATTAAATGCAAAAGGCAGCTGTCAAAAGTGCCAACACAAACAGTCCGACACTAGAAGTACAGTTCAATGTTGATGGAAACAGCAGTTATCACAGATCAGTAGTTGCACATGCAATTAATCACATAAGGCACCACAAGTCCTCAGGCAACAGGCCACTCACAATTTTCTGAATCTGCAGTTCACAACACAAATCATTTTGGGCACAGTCAGAAGCATTCAGAATAAAATCCAGAACTCACAGGGTCGCACCATGCACTCAACTCAGTATCTGGGCAACAGAACTATATTCTTTCAGTCTATATATGGAGAAAAATGCAACTGCTAACTATTATCAGAAGCAAAAACTTGCCAAGATCATAGGATCAAGTCCCATCAAGGAAGATTTTAAACACTGATCTGGGCTTCTAGGATAACCCATCTAAAAATGTTTTGGGAAATAAAAGTGGTTGGTTTCATACTGATTAAATAGTCCCCTGAATGACTATTTACGTAAGAAAGAATGTAAGATATGAATGAAATAATCAGGCCTCAGAAATGAAAAGTAGTCCAAGTGACAAGAAGGGACAAAGTTCACAACCAGACATAGGTCAGTCATGATTTTAAAACCTAGGTCTTACAAACTTAAGTGAATCAATCAGTTTGTACAATGGTTTGGACAGGCACAGGAGTCTAGGAACCAGGAAACCAGACCTCCATGATGACTCAGGGATCCCAGGGAAGACATCATCTGACAGTCCCTTACTGATAAAGGACTAGCAAGAAAACTGCTTATAGAGAAGTCAGGCAATTCCTATGGCAAAGCTCTATTATACCCCAGGGTAGAAGAGGATCAACTAAGTGAAGTGAATTAATAGAATAATCCAAAACATTATAACAGGTTCCTCAGTACTAAAGAGTTAACAATTTATGATGCTAGTTTTATTTAAACTAAAGTAAATAAATACTACTCACTGCAACCCTCCTGAATGCTGTCAGATTTAATGGTAAAATGCTGTCTTGATTTTTTAGCAGAACGAAAGATTTCACAGCTGCTTCAACAGCCAGTGATTGATGTTCTGGTGACTCGGCAATACTGCTGTCCAACTTGGCATATGGATTCATTTCTGGAGGATCAAATTCACCCAGTCTCATTCTTGTGTAGAAGAGAGGCTTAACTCTTTCTCTGACCAGATTTTCAGACAGCTTGCCTTGATTTATTGCATCAACTGTTGGTATATTTTAAACAAGTCACCAAGAGAAACCATCTTAAAAACATCACTAAAATAAATACTGATTTTTAAGTCATGATAATGGCATTTAAAATTATGATTTTCTATTGTTAAAACTGAAAACAGTAAACAGTAGTTTTTTTTTTTGTTTTAATCCAAACTATGTCAGCTCAGAGGTTCCACTGATTCTGTGACTTGATTACTGGATAGTTTGGGAAGGCAGCACAGTGAGACAGTTGTTCTACTTAATGAAACTTATGTTTGATAATATTTACTGTAACAAAATAAATGTTTTCAAAGGAAGAAAATAGAGTTGGATTAGGATATACACAGAATGCTTCATAATGGTTCGGCAGTGACAGCTCACCGGTGGATGGCAGATGGAACAAGAAGAAGTGGATGCCAACAGAAAAGGAAACAAAGGAATGTAAAATGCTTTGGGATAACACAGGCATAAAAGCAGCAGACCACCAGCAATGAAAATCACTTGTGGATGCCACAAGCGTTAACAGCAAAACAAAAAAGAGGACAAAGAAACTGAGAGGAAAGAATATATGCAGGAAACACAATGGCATTATGAACAATGTTCCTGCCCACCAAAATAGTGGTTTGGGTTAAACCCCCACCAGTGAGAGGTTACAACTCAAAATTCAATATTGATCGGAGGCTGATCCAGTACTGGATTAATTTAAGAGCTGCCTGTCTACTCTCTGGGAAGCATAGGGGGAGAGGAAGGAATGTGACCAAACCATCTCATGGTTTTGTTATCTGAAGGCCAAATACTTCACAACTCAAAACCAGCACCTGACAAAGTTTTATTTGATATTTCTCTCGTTGCTGTCACTAAGCAGAATAGGTCAAATGTAAACATGGCCCTTTTCATACACATGGCATTTCAAGCATATGGTGCTGCAACTATATTTTACAGACCGAAACAGCACTCAATGGTGGATGTGGTCAACATCATGCTGCCTGCTTTTACTTCCTAAGAAATTACCTGGTACCCATTTCAGGCTGGAAGCCACTGTGGTGTAGTAGACACTCACCTGTGGATTGGAAGGTGGTGGGTTCAGGTACTGAAAGAGCTGACCTTTAACAAAAAATCTTGACTCCCAGGCAGACCCAGCCTCAAATTGCCAGGTACAGTCCTGAGAAGGCGGCCAGCGCGATGGTGACTACATCATTCACCTAATGTCACTTAGTCTATAACATTTAAGTCTAGCCCTATATGCCCAGTACGCCTGAAAGAATGAAAAAGGACCCTTTACTTTACATTTGAGGCTGGGTAGATCTGGCAGCCGAGATCAGTTTAAAAGAAGAAAAGAAAATGAATGGCCCACCTTGATGTGGATATGAACCCTACAACTTCAGGCTGGCAGTCGAGTATCTAGCCACTAGTCCATCATTTCACTAGGCAGAATGGTGTTGATTTTAAATGACAAATTGTAAAATGGGAATAGAGACAGAGGCTGTCACTGGTTCTAAACAACATAAGTGAAAAAAAAAACCAAAGAGCAGAATATGAAATGAAAGTAAACCTATTGAAAGATAAACAGGCTGCACCAAATTAGGCGACAGCTCCAGATTACACCCAGCATTGACGCAGGCTGCAGCTGTATCTAGGCTGTTGTTCAGGTAGTGGTGATCGTTGATGATGTTTTCTATTGCGGACTCATCGCTGACCACATATCCAGTGAAGTTCCACTCATCTCGCAAGATGTCTGTTAGCAGTTTCTTGTTAGCACAAGATGGGACTCCATTGATACTGTATGAATGAGAAATATATGTCTACGTAATTATGTATAGTTACTTGTTGACAAGGATGAGACTCCGTTGATACTGTATGAATGAAAAATGTATGTCTACGTAATTATGTATAGTTACTTGTTAGCACAAGATGGGACTCCATTGATACTGTATGAATGAGAAATGTATGTCTATGTAATTATGTATAGTTACTTGTTGGCACAGGATGGGATTCTATTGATATCAAACTTCATAGTACTAGGGCTTGACTCCTGTGGTGGGTGTTTCCATTTCTGTAGTGTAGACGACTCGGTGAGTATGCTCAGAATGATAGAGATAGGTCGGGTCCGAAGACAGTGGTTAGTTTTTCTGAGGCAGTCAGGACTGGCAAATATCATTTTTATTTTTGTGATTGGGCATACATACATGTGGGGACATGAGCAAGCTGACAGGCTGGCAGGTAAAGCTATTGTGAACAGCAGGGGAGCCTTGATACAGGCTGATATAATGAATGCTCTACAAGACTTGAGGCGTTTGAGAGAACCAAGTGACTGTGAATATACAAAACTGACCAGACTGCAAGAACAGCATGTAAAACAGGGTGTGGCCAGACAAGAGCACTATGCAGGAAGCCAAAGGAGAAAAGAAACCAACACAGAACTCGTGTTGTCAGCAGCTACATGCTGCGGGATATACTGAGGAGGGGATCTGAGCACTTATGGGCTAAATGGTTCCATGTACAGTTAGGATAATCTGTTGACTAACTATAGAAGAGCTAGGGCCTCACCTGGTTAATATAACCAAGGACAACTGTGGATATACTGAAGCCAAATTTCAATATGGACATGGTACCCAACTTTACGTTTTTAATCTTTAGCTGCTTAACTAGTAGTTTCAACTGCACATTTACGTTAACTATCTCTAGTTCCATTAATTGAGTGTTGTTGGGCTGTCGAGTTACTGCTGGATGTGTGATCCGTTTCTTCCATTTCTGGTGATCAGATGTGTTGGATTTGATGTTTTTGTTAGACAGCCTTTGCTTGGTCTAATGCTGGTTTTTTCAGGCTTGATTATGTCATCCAGAGCTTCTATTTCTCACCAAACACCCAAAGAACACTGCTTGTTTCTTTCTTACAACTGCGTTTAATCATGAACAAAATTCCCTGGTTGTCGTTGTTGTTACTAACTCTAACTGTTCACAGTGCTCACAACATTTACCTCAGAAACCACACAGTTGTACCGATACTGACCTGTTGTAACTACACATGAGACTGAAGGTTCCTGCCTGTACACACTTTTTGAAGGCTGGAAGAAAGGTCATGCGCCAATCTGTGTCCGACACCTGTTAACAACACAGACTATTCATGTTTCTGCTGGTTTTATTCATTACTAAAACTGATTATAAATCAAGGTCGTGGCTGCAAAAGTCCCCATTAATTACTGGCACCATGAGAGTCAACAGAATGCAGTGGTTGGGTTACAGAGAGAGAATGACAGATAATAGAGAGACAACAATCCTGTACATATACAAAACAGTTATTATGGGAGTAGAACATGAGGGCAATGGTTGGGGTACAGAGAGAGAATGACAGATAATAGAGAGACAACAATTATGTACATACACAAAACAGTAACTATGGGAGTAGAACATGAGGGCAATGGTTGGGGTACAGAGAGAGAATGACAGATAATAGAGAGACAACAGTCCTGTACATAAACAAAACAGTAACTATGGGAGTAGAACATGAGGGCAATGGTTGGGGTACAGAGAGAGAATGACAGATAATAGAGAGACAACAGTCCTGTACATATACAAAACAGTAACTATGGGAGTAGAACATGAGGGCAATGGTTGGGGTACAGAGAGAGAATGACAGATAATAGAGAGACAACAGTCCTGTACATATACAAAACAGTAACTATGGGAGTAGAACATGAGGGCAATGGTTGGGGTACAGAGAGAGAATGACAGATAATAGAGAGACAACAGTCCTGTACATATACAAAACAGTAACTATGGGAGTAGAACATGAGGGCAATGGTTGGGGTGCAGAGAGAGAATGACAGATAATAGAGAGACAACAGTCCTGTACATATACAAAACAGTAACTAAGGGAGTAGAACATGAGAGCAATGGTTGGGGTGCAGAGAGAGAATGACAGATAATGGAGAGACAATAATTATGTACATACACAAAACAGTAACTATGGGAGTAGAACATGAGGGCAATGGTTGGGGTACAGAGAGAGAATGACAGATAATAGAGAGACAACAGTCCTGTACATATACAAAACAGTAACTATGGGAGTAGAACATGAGGGCAATGGTTGGGGTACAGAGAGAGAATGACAGATAATAGAGAGACAACAGTCCTGTACATATACAAAACAGTAACTATGGGAGTAGAACATGAGGGCAATGGTTGGGGTACAGAGAGAGAATGACAGATAATAGAGAGACAACAGTCCTGTACATACACAAAACAGTAACTATGGGAGTAGAACATGAGAGCAATGGTTGAGGTACAGAGAGAGAATGACAGATAATGGAGAGACAATAATTCTGTACATAAACAAAACAGTAACTATGGGAGTAGACCATGAGGCAGATCACAATGATCAACGGCTGAATACTAGAGGAGGATGAGGAAGAGGAGGAGAAGAAAAAGAAGAAAAAGATTAGGGTCAAGGAACATTTTCACCAGACGCCATTCTCACTTTATGATTTGTGTCAGTGTGGCTCATAAGTATATCATCTACCTATAATTTAGTTAAATGGCAGGTACGCTGTTCCTCATTATGTCTCCTTCTATTTTTAGACTTGTGGCTTGCTCACTTAATTGTTTTGGGGAAAATATATGATGGCTTCTCGTTATCTTTTACGCACATGTGGATAGTTTTTTTTATGTATGCCATTTAAGAGTATTTTTTAAAGTCACTGTAAGTGTTTATGTTCTAAAGAACTTTACTGATTTTATGCTTGAGTTAAGTAAGTAAATTATACCCCACCAGGACATCACACAGAGTGATAAACACCCGGTGACACAAAGTGCCACCATTCAGATGAGGATCACCCATTGAGAAGTCCTGGAAATCATCAGTCTATACTGAGTGAGGCCCCTGGCAACAGCCAGGAATAGGGCTTCAAAACACCGAAAAATGGCATCCCACAAGGGGGATGACGAGGATTAGTAAGCTTGAGTTAAATATTCTAGGTCTGGCAACATTTCTTTGTTATTTAACAAAACAAGTAACTGTTATTTAACTGTAAGGCGGGTATCTGGAACAAATATGTTGTGACTTGTAACTATTAACTAACATTTTGAAAATGAACAGATAACTAATCCTTTAATAGTAAAGACAAAAGGAGAGAAAGATGCAAATAACTAATTTAATCTCTAAACACTAGAAACAAAGTTAAAAAAAAAAGAGAGAGAGAGAGAGAGAGAGAGAGAGAGAGAGAGAGAGAGAGAGAGAGAGAGAGAGAGAGAGAGAGAGAGAGAGAGAGAGAGAGAGAGAGAGAGAGAGAGAAGAGAGAGAGAGAGAGAGAGAGAGAGAGAGAGAGAGAGAGAGAGAGAGAGAGAGAGAGAGAGAGAGAGAGAGAGAGAGAGAGAGAGAGAGAGAGAGAGAGAGAGAGAGAGAGAGAGAGAGAGAGAGAGAGAGAGAGAGACAACTATACTGAAAAACAATGAAAAAGACCTGAAATCATTTAAGTGTTAACAATGAACAATATCAAACTTGAGTCCCACAAACCAGAGCATTGAATGTCATCCTGTTGACAGGAATATCTTCAGGTCCGCCATGAGCATCAAAATGTTTACATCCTGCACTGGCCTGGACATACCTGGGATCACTGCCTGCAGACAGAGAGAGAGTTCTTAAATCATATGAACGCAGCTCAACTTGTCTGTTGCATTCACCATTTCTAGGGCGGTGTCGGTCAAGGTGAGTCGTGAGCCTGAGGATTTAAGGCTACATATTCTTAATAATAATGTTTGAAACTGGCTCCCCGTTTAGGTTCTGGGACCCAACTGTAGGGGGGGGGGGGGGGGGGGGATTAAACCCACTGCCTCCTAACAACCCTAGCCATGGATAACCCTCTACCTTGTGCAATCCTGTAACTTTGAGGTCAATCTAAAACTTTAGTGATGCAGTGGATTCCAGGCCACTCTGGCACACCAGGTAATGACAGAGCTGACAGACTGGCAAAGAAAGGAGCAACACAAGAACAACCACCTACAGCGACAACCCTACAGACAGCAAAAACACTTATACGAGCTATAAACAAAGAGACTTGTTTGAACAGATGGGCCATGGGAGACACTGGAAGAGAGGTTTATAGACATATGGCTGGCCCTGATCCTAATGACAGCATTAACCATCTAACAAGAAGGGACCAGGCCACCATCTTCAGACTTAGAACACAACATATTCCACTCAGTGGACATCTAAACAGAATACAGCCACAACACTCCACAGAGTGCCAGCTATGTAACTACCCCTACGAAACTGTTGAACACCATCTCTTTGAGTGCCCAAAACTCAGCGAGACTAGAAGAATGCTACTCCCTGGAGACCAGACAAGTGAAACACCTTGTATGGAGGAAAAGAACAGCTTGTGGAAACATGCAAATTCCACTACATGGCATTGGGCCAAAAGGCGAAAGCTCATGCGCCGCTGGATCGATAACAACAACAACAATCTAAAACTTTGGATGTAGTCTGTCAATGTTTTAAAGTCCTTCTCTTCCCTGTGTGGGTACCAGGGTTCGATTGTGAAAAACAAAGAATAGACCCACTACTCACCTAACAACTTGTCTTTGGAAGCAAATAATTGGGTTTGTTTCCTTCAGTGCATCTGTCTGAGAGGCAAGGAACCAACAGTCTGCATATAAATAAGCCATACTGTAAAATGATGTGCACAAAAAAAAAAAAAAAATAATGGAATAAGATCAAAGTCCAGAAGTGAACAAACAACTAGAACTTTCCGCTGGAGTTTACTATCAGTAAACACAAAGAAGAATAAGAAGAAGATTCAAAATGGTATTCATACACATCACTGTCTACTTTGAGAGATTCAAGTTCCTATGCCATCTACAGAATAATGGTTTTGCTGAACCCCATCATTTGCTGGTTGTTTGTAGTTTTCCTAGACAATTTGACTTTCAGTAGTGTGTCATTACCTGAGGAAAATGTTGAACACAAAGCTGGATGAATTCAAAGGGGCAAAGAAATAAGAGAAATCTCTGGGCAACTAGTATTCACAACAGATATAGGATAAAGAAGATGGCGCTGTACTGGACACATAGTGAGAAGAAATTAGCAGAGAATCACCAAACAGGCACTAACATGGGAGATCAAGGGATTGAGGAGGCAAGGATGTGCCAACAAAACCCTAAAATTAACGCTGATGAGAGAGGCCAAAGTTGCCGGACTGGATTCCATCAATGATATCAAAGAGACCGCACAGGATAGAACACAATGGAAATTTAGATTACAAGCTCGGTGTGACATATAGTGGCCCAACAGGACAACAATGAGGAGCTGACCACTGTCCAGTGAACGGTCCATGCTCCACTCTATTGTCAAAATCAGCTCACAGTGGTCTGCTGCCTAGTCACCTCAACTGAACCAGGTATTTCAGAGCTAAAAACTGCTTGTGAACAATCAGCAAATATCTGCGTGTACCTTGCAGGCCTCTGACAAAATTCTGGGCCAGGATGCCAGTCAGAAAAGGATCTTCTCCGTAGGTCTCCTGTCAATAACAAGAAAACATTTTTAAAATCTGAAAAAAAAAAAAAAAAAAAACTGCAAGTCAAATAATAAAATAAGATTAAAAAGAAAAAAAGAAAAAGTGCCACAGATATGTGAAGTGAAGTATACAACTAGGACAATACCTCAAATGTACAAGTATACTTTCTCCTTGACTTACAACTTGTGGGATTTATGGTTTCAAATCTGGGACTCCTGTATGACAGCCAAGTGTTCCTAACTGTTCGGCCAGCTAGCTTTTGTACGGTAATAGTTAACAAATTCAAAGATAAAAAGAACACATCTAAGTAATTAATATTAAAATCTAATACTGATATATTCATGCATACAATTTATAAACAAGACATGGTTATATTAGTCATCTAATTATTTATTTTAGCTCCAGAAGACAAGTGTTTTGTTGGATCACCGAGCTACTGCTGATTATCTGATCAGGTGTTTCCATATCTGTGGATAGATGTGTTAGACTTAATGTTTTCTTATTTGGATTCAGGTCTTTCATTCTTTGTCTTATCTCCTCTTTACATGTACCAAACCAGTAGAGCAGTTATGGAAAGACTGGCAGATCTGATTAATTGTCCACATAGTTGAGTTCTGAGTCTTGTTAGCGTTCTTAAAATGATTATATGAGTATTACCACACCTGATTTCTGCCCCAGCGAGGGTCTCGTGCGATGTTAATTACTGGACTGAAACAGCTGGCTCCAGTATGGGAAGCATATATTCCTCTCTGCACAAAGTCGTTATGTTTGCCTCGGACCTCAGATCCTACCGCAGCAGCAATTCTAAACAGCAGGTCAGGGCTGTGAAGGGAAATAAAACAGAGTGTTTTGAGTTCTGACCCTTGTTCTCTGGCCAGGATTTATTTTCAATGGCCACATGTGTCATCTGTTCTACTGGCCAGACAGCAATGTGATTCACACCGGAAACACATCTGCTAAGTGATGTTTGTGTATTCTTGTTAATATTTGTGGTTGTTGTAGATTTATATATTTTGATGTGAAGGATCTCTAGCCGCAAAGTTTACTTGTCATTTGTGTATGCGATAGTGTGAAGGTGACTGGTTCTATTTACTGACATATCTTTTCATGATACTGTGTGTAATCCAGCACAGGGTAAAAGGCAGGAGTTATACTCGCATACACATGGCAAACATAGCTAACTCTCATATGGTGTAACAGAAGATGATTTAATGTTCTAAGTCCCTTCCCAAGCTAATAGTGAGGGTACTGCTGGGGTGACCGTTTTTTAACTCTCACATAATGCTTCAGGTTGAAATGGACGCTAGGCATGGCCACTTCTTTTAGCCATGGCAAATTTTTTTGCTTGTGCCAGATGGTGGTGGTTGCATTTTTGCTCCATTTGTAGACTAGAAGGATATAGTTTCATTGCCCAGCTTCTGAGCTGAGTGCATGGCGTGACACTGTGAGCTGCAGATTTCATTTGAACTTAAACTAAGATGACCAGATTACCAGAAGATGATAACATGGTTGGCTGTGAATCCCCTAGAAGACAGAGGTTTAACTATCGAGTCTGATGCACTAACTTTCAGGCTGTCAGAACTGTGAAAAGATCTGCATCGATTGGTGTTAGGTTTATGAAAAGATATTTTTCCTGTCCCAGTACTTACTATCTCCTTAGGACTGTGCTGCAGAGTGCGCCTTGCACTCTCCCAGCTCAGGAAGCAAGATAGTACAAGGGTGGTGCTAAAACACATCTCTGGTTCTCTGAACACATCATACACTTAAATACAGTAGCTCACTAAAGCATCACACCAGGGGCCTTCACTGCAAGTATGTGAGCTCTATCACAATAACTATTCCTTAACTCAGTATTTCCCAAACGTTTCTTAATCACAGCACCTTTTTTCAATTACAATTTTTCTAAGGCGCCCTAACCTAAGTAAAAGAATGACTATTCGTATGTAAGAGATTTAAAAAACAAGTGTGTATCTTCAAAAATTTCAAGGCCCCTGTAAAGAGGTTGCGGCTCCCCGGGGCGCACAGTTTGGGAATCACCACCTTAACTATTCACAGCCAATCAAATCAGTACCTAAATGTCGCTGCCAGTCCCAAAGCTTGAGGAAAGGCAGTTGCATTGCCAGCTGTCTCTGCATCACCACGCAGGCACTCAGTGTCCCAGTTGTATGCTCCAATTCCTACAGTAAAACACAGTCAATGCTATAAGTAAATCCTTACTTTCAAAAAAGTTAGTTGTGCACCATTTTTCAGGACGTTGCTAAGCAAACCCAAGTATTATTTTAGCTGTTTTTTTATTTTGATAGGCAGATTTGCATTCTGTAGTTTGCCACTGCTTCTGAGCAGTCTGCTCTCACTACCATTATTGAAATCAGCTGCGAAACTGCCTACAGTTGATATCAACATAGAGGTCTGTGAATTACGAATCACACACAATGCCTCGGCCACAGATGGCGAAACATACTCTTACTTAACAAACTTTATTAACATAATTTAATCTAATTATATTTTTCAATTTTAAGTTCAAAGTTAATTCACTGTGGGAATTTACCCAATGGTTCTTGTTCTTTTCGTAGAATGCCTAGCCACTTGCCAATAGCATCTCACAAAATACAGTCTCCGTAGCTCTTGCAATGATCCCCAGGGATCTCGATAAAAATTACACCCATGAACTGCACGACCAAGACTGTGAAACAAACATATAATTCAACAGAGCGCGGTGCAAGAGGCTTAACCACTCAGCATTGACAACCCCAAATTTTAGATGTGCTAAAACTTCAGATATCAGTTAAGTACATTTGTAAAACTATTTTTTCCTGTGATGCCTGACAAATTATGATAAGTCAGGGTTGATTTTCATTTTATTTTCACAAATGAATGAAGTGATTAATTTTAATAAAAATTTGGTCATGAGGTCTGTTATCATGCCACCTATCTTGACCTCTCCTGGTTAAAAGTGTTATCAGTTCAAGGAAGAGTGATTGACCTCAGAGTTATTGAGGTCAGAAAACCATCAATCACTTTTTGGGACTAAACCATGTTTTGTTGATAAAGTAAAGGGCTCTTTCATATATATATAATCCTAACCCGCATAGTCAGAAGCAACAACACTAGCCAAGTAGCCCTAAATCCTCACTCAAAGACCTCCCTGCCTACACCACAAACAGCACCAGCAAAGTGGCCCTAAATCCTCACTCAAAGATCTCCCTGCCTACACCACAAACAGCACCAGCCAAGTGCCCCTAAATCCTCACTCAAAGATCTCCCTGCCTACACCACAAACAGCACCAGCCAAGTGGCCCTAAATCCTCACTCAAAGATCTCCCTGCCTACACCACAAACAGCACCAGCCAAGTGGCCCTAAATCCTCACTCAAAGATCTCCCTGCCTACACCACAAACAGCACCAGCCAAGTAGCCCTAAATCCTCAGACTCAAAGATCTCCCTGCCTACACCACAAACAGCACCAGCCAAGTGGCCCGAAATCCTCAGACTCAAAGACCTCCCTGCCTACACCACAAACAGCACCAGCCAAGTGGCCCTAAATCCTCACTCAAAGATCTCCCTGCCTACACCACAAACAGCACCAGCCAAGTGGTCCTAAATCCTCACTCAAAGATCTCCCTGCCTACACCACAAACAGCACCAGCCAAGTGGCCCTAAATCCTCAGACTCAAAGATCTCCCTGCCTATACCACAAACAGCACCAGCCAAGTGGCCCTAAATCCTCACTCAAAGATCTCCCTGCCTACACCACAAACAGCACCAGCCAAATGGCCCTAAATCCTCACTCAAAGATCACCTGCCTACACACCACACACAGCACCAGCCAAGTGGCCCTAAATCCTCAGACTCAAAGATCTCCCTGCCTACACCACAAACAGCACCAGCCAAGTGGCCCTAAATCCTCACTCAAAGATCTCCCTGCCTACACCACAAACAGCACCAGCCAAGTGGCCCTAAATCCTCACTCAAAGATCTCCCTGCCTACACCACAAACAGCACCAGCAAAGTGGCCCTAAATCCTCACTCAAAGATCTCCCTGCCTACACCACAAACAGCACCAGCCAAGTGCCCCTAAATCCTCACTCAAAGATCTCCCTGCCTACACCACAAACAGCACCAGCCAAGTGGCCCTAAATCCTCACTCAAAGATCTCCCTGCCTACACCACAAACAGCACCAGCCAAGTGGCCCTAAATCCTCACTCAAAGATCTCCCTGCCTACACCACAAACAGCACCAGCCAAGTAGCCCTAAATCCTCAGACTCAAAGATCTCCCTGCCTACACCACAAACAGCACCAGCCAAGTGGCCCTAAATCCTCAGACTCAAAGACCTCCCTGCCTACACCACAAACAGCACCAGCCAAGTGGCCCTAAATCCTCACTCAAAGATCTCCCTGCCTACACCACAAACAGCACCAGCCAAGTGGTCCTAAATCCTCACTCAAAGATCTCCCTGCCTACACCACAAACAGCACCAGCCAAGTGGCCCTAAATCCTCAGACTCAAAGATCTCCCTGCCTACACACAAACAGCACCAGCCAAGCCCTTAATCCTCACTCAAAGATCTCCCTGCCTACACCACAAACAGCACCAGCCAAATGGCCCTAAATCCTCACTCAAAGATCTCCCTGCCTACACCACAAACAGCACCAGCCAAGTGGCCCTAAATCCTCAGACTCAAAGATCTCCCTGTCTACACCACAAACAGCACCAGCCAAGTGGCCCTAAATCCTCACTCAAAGATCTCCCTGCCTACACCACAAACAGCACCAGCCAAATGGCCCTAAATCCTCACTCAAAGATCTCCCTGCCTACACCACAAACAGCACCAGCCAAGTGGCCCTAAATCCTCAGACTCAAAGATCGACCTGCCTACACCACAAACAGCACCAGCCAAGTGCCCCTAAATCCTCACTCAAAGATCTCCCTGCCTACACCACAAACAGCACCAGCCAAGTGGCCCTAAATCCTCAAACTCGAAGACATCTCTTACACAACAAACAGTGGTAAATTTATGCAGTATTGGCAGTTGTTTTTGATGGACACATGATACTAGACTCATATTTTTACGGAACAGTCCACACATTTTATGCTGGGTTGACCCAGTAGCCAAGGTCGGTCCCCCCAGATCCGCCCAGAGTGGATTTGGACCCAAGACTTTCAAAAAACAAAAAATATAAAGATTAAGAGAAATCCCCTTCCTCTTTTTTCTTCTTCTTCGCGTTCACCGGCTGTAAACTCCGGCGGAAAGTTTTGGTTGTTCATTTACTTCTGGACTGCAGTCCTGTTTTAGAACCTGGGGGTTGCATGTGCATCTGTTTGACAGATCTGGCTCATTTGTGTGCAGACTGTTGGTTCCTTGCCTCTCAGGCAGATGCACTCTGACTTTGAAGGAAGCTCCCAATTAGTCGATTCTTACGACATGCTTTTGAATAGGCAGTGGGCCTATTCTTGTTTTCCCTATAACAGGGCCCCGGAACCCACAAGGGGAAAGAGAAATTTTGACATATATTACAAATAAACATTTTGAACAGAGTCTTTATCAACAAACATTTTTTTAAGATTGTCATATCACCATAAATCTTCTTTTTAATCCACCCACCAGCAAAGTCACTGTGACGGGTTTCTGAATGCCTTTCACATTTCAACGCTTATAAGAAAGACTTAAAAAAAAAATTACCTAGTCGTGGAATAGCAGGTGCAGGGCCACCATATTCTCCAGACCCACCCCTAGCCATTTGTAGCTGAATTTCTTCAAGAGTCAGGCGAGATACCAAGTCATCAACTCTCTCATTCCAGGGTAAACTTGTGTTCCAGAAAGGAAAGTCTCCCATCTTGTGTCTGACAATTTGATGTGGTATAAAGTAAAGTGAAGAGGGCAGTACATATGCACATAGGTTTGCAATGGTCAGGTGGCCCAACAAGCATGATGATGACATTGTCATGTTGGCAAATATAGCATATCCCAGGAACACTGTGGCAATGGAAAGCAATGAATGCTTTTAGAACATTAAAATCAAGGCAGGGGATATCTGCAGCAAATGAATATTAAGGGCATGAAGAGCTGAAGAAGAAGAAGAAGAAGAAGAAGAAGAAGAAGAAGAAGAAGAAGAAGAAGAAGAAGAAGAAGAAGAAGAAGAAGAAGAAGAACAAGAAGAAGAACAAGGAGGAGGAGGAGAAAAAGAACAGGAGGATGAAGAAGATGATGATGATGGATCCATACACTTGGCCATGAAAGGGTGAAATGTTTGTCAGCTCAAATACTTTTGGTTACATGAACACAGAAGACACAAACAACAGATTGTACAATTTAATACACCGTTATATTTCGTTGTTATCTATTCAGGTGCACACAACAGTAAATGTGTTTTGTTGTTAGCTAGTCAGGTGCACACAACAGTAAATCTTTTTTGTTGTTAGCTAGTCAGGTGCACACAACAGTACATTGTTGTTAGCTAGTCAGGTGCACACAACAGTAAATTGTTGTTAGCTAGTCAGGTGCACACAACAGTAAATTGTTGTTAGCTAGTCAGGTGCACACAACAGTAAATTGTTGTTAGCTAGTCAGGTGCACACAACAGTAAATTGTTGTTAGCTAGTCAGGTGCATACAACAGTAAATGTGTTTTGCTGTTAGCTAGTGAGGTGCATACAACAGTAAATGTGTTTTGTTGTTAGCTAGTCAGGTGCACACAACAGTAAATTGTTGTTAGATGGTCAGGTGCACACAACAGTAAATGTGCTATGTTGCTGTGGTATGTGCCGTCAAGAAACAGCTAAATATATATCAGGTAATACTTTATTAGGGTTATGTGATTGTTTGTGTGTGTGTGTGTGTGTGTGTGTGTGTGTGTGTGTGTGTGTCGCAGTGAGTGAGTGAGGGGCTGAATGACGTTTGACCGCACCGGCTATTGTTGACACAAGGTGCGGTACTGTACTCCTTCAAATGAAAGTCACCCGGGCTCGAGTCCCTTAAACCTTAAACCCCGTTCAACTCCTAGGCCCCCGGCGACAGTTGGCTTTCATATATTTAACCCAAAAAAAAACAAAAAAAAATTGGGTCCCATATTCAGACAGGGATTGTAATGTGTCTCCCACGTTTAAATTTTCTTTTGTAACATTGTTTTGATTTTGGTTACTAAGTCACTAAGGCCAAGCGCCCAAGCTATCTATATGCACCGATTACTACAAGAAAAACGAAAAACACCACATCCATAAACATGCAAAGAATTACTCCAACCGGAGAAAACTGGCAAAAATGTTCAAAAAACAAATCGCCTACCTGGTAAATATATTCAACGTTTAGAAAAGGAGTCGACGAAACTCAACAATAGGAGAATCCACTGGTAGGTCCTGCCTTCATGTGACCGTCGTCTGATGGCCAGTCTCCGGGAGTTGTCTCCCCGGGCCAGCAGACGACAGTGTCGTCCAGGGCGCCATGACAGTATTGCTTGCCTGTGATCAGTGGATAAGGTTTTCTAGATTCGCCTGCATCCTTTAGGCTTAAGAAACAAGTTGTGACACTGCTTCGTCTTCGTTATAAATTGTGGTAAAATGCAAATGACGAGCTAGACTTCTGCTGTTTAGTTTATTTTTATAACCTTTGATTAAAGACACCAAGGAGCGTAACCACCAACACCGTTGTGAATGTAAACAAGGAAAACTTGACTAGTTGTCAAGAGTAAGACTCTTTTCGTCGTTAAAAAATTGGTGGTCAGTTTCATTATTGCTTGCTGTTGGTAACATTTTATCCAGCTTTATTTGTTTTGTTCTGTTAGAATCTGTCTATTAATACGTATTATTTGACAACATTGCATATTTATATATAAAATTAAATTTATAATTAATATTGTTGATAATAAAAACCCACACATGTCTGATCAACATTGCCCCCCCCCCCCCACACACCCACACCCACACCCCCACTCTCCCAATCAACTTACAGTAGGTTCTTTAAGTGTTACATTTTTTATGATTTGTTACATTTTACAATTAACGTTTTAATGGAATAAAGTAGACAGTCTCGCATCAGCCATCTTTAATTTCCTCTTACAACATGCACTGTATGCTACATGGTTGTTCTTCACTTGCCTTGCATGTCCTCATAACACACAGGTGATCCGCAGTAATAAATGTAATCCCTAGTAACACACAGGTGATACTCAGTAATACACATGTTTATGTTTATTTGATGGATCAACATCATGGCACACGAGTCTTAACTCATAAACGCTCCGTTCTACTTCTAACTCAAGCCTGAGTCTGAAGAATCTCAGTGCAGTTCATGAACTCCATAGCACCAGCGAGGATCCTGAAAAGTTATACACATGATCCACAGTATCACACAGGTGATCCACAGTAACACACACATGATCCACAGTAACACACAGGTGATCCCCAGTAACACACAAATGATCCAAAGTAACACATACATGATCCACAGTAACACACAGGTGATCCCCAGTAACACATACATGATCCACAGTAACACACAGGTGATCCCCAGTAACAAATACATGATCCACAGTGACACACAGGTGATCCCAGTAACACACAGATGATTCTCAGTAGCACACAGGTGATCCCCAGTAACAGACACATGATCCACAGTAACACATACATGATCCACAGTAACACACAGGTGATCCCAGTAACACACACATGATTCTCAGTAACACACAGGTGATCCCCAGTAACATACACATGATCCACAGTAACACACAGGTGATCCTTAGTAACACATACATGATCCACAGTAACACACAGGTGATCCCAACAAATACTCAGGTAATCCCTAGTAACACACATGTGATTCCAGTAGTAGCAGAGTTAATATTCTTGGACCACTACAGCTCTTGGGTTGTGTCAGCCAGTACTGGAGATTTCTCAGTAAAGGTCAAAGTAATACTGGACTTGCTGTCCCTCTTGTACAGTTTGGCCTCTGAAAAAAAAATCTGCCTTGATGACATCAGAATAAGCTCACTATATGGATCCAAGAAATATGTTTTTAGAATTGTGTTTATAATAAATAATTTGTTGTCAACCTTGAAGACAGGCTGTGAAATGAACTTGGAAAAGAAGCATTCAAAAACTGAGTCGCAGTCTACTACCACAAAGAAAAAGAAAGGTTCATTGCAGAAACAACCCAAATCCAAAATGAACTTTGTCACTGAGGAGGAGTTGTTGAAGAAGGATTTTATCTCCCCTGATGATGTACTTAGGCTTGGTCGCAGTACTGAAAGTAAGTTGCTGCTTTTGCTTTGTCAGATTATCAGCTTCTTGTTCTTGGTCTGTTCTTGACAGAGTTTTTTTTTTTACCTTGAATATGGGAATTTCCCTTTGTGGGTTCTGATGCCCAGTTTTGGGGGTAAAATGAATAGACCCACAGCCTCCCTAACAAGTATGTTGTACAACATTACTAATTAGAAGAGTTTCCTTTGAAGTTGCTGTGCATCTGCCTTAGAAGTGAGGAACCAACAGTCTGCATACAATAAGCCAAATCTGTAAAACAGATGTGAATGCAGAATTCAAGTTCTGGAAAAGCCAGAGTCCAGAAATGGGCGAACAACCAGAACTTTCCTTTGGAGTTGAGCACTAAGAAGAAAAAGAAGAAGATATGGGAAATAAGATGTAGACAGTGGATGTATTTGTTTTTGGACATGTTATTAGAAGAACTTTCCTAACTCATATTGGACTAATCAGACACCCTTGTACTCATAACCATTGATCACTACTACTTTGGATGAACATCACAGTCGCAATAATAATGATTGGTGAGAAATAAAGCAGGAGAGAAAACACAACCAAAAAGTGTTACAACTGGAATTGGAGACTATAGGAAATTGATATCAGATGATGGAAGTATTATAAAGCCAAAAAGAGATTTAGACCAGTGTTAGAATATGTTTGAGGGGGAAAAAAGTATGCCAGAAGATGTTAAAGATAGGATTAAATTAAGAAAAAGGTTCCAAGAAGTCGCATCAGAGAGGAAACACCTATGTGGCATTCCTTTTGTGGGTTCAGGGAACCCATTTTTTTATGGGGGGGGGGGGGGGGAGGAATAATATACCCACTGTCTACCTAACAAGCATGTCGTAAAGAGAGACTAATTTGGGATTTTCCCTCTGAAGTCAGAGTGCATCTGCCTGAGATGTGAAGAACCAAAAGTCTGCATATAATTAAGCCAGATCTGTAAAATAGAAGTGCATGCAAAATTCAAGTTCTGGAACAAGACCAGTCTGAAAGTGAACAAACAACAGAAAATTTCTCCGGAGTTTACGGCTGGTGAACACTAAGAAGGAAAAAAGACGTATGTTTATTCTTTGGATGTCTGTGGTTTAGGGAGTTTGACTCACAGCTGCACAATCCCCACACACTGAGGTTCAAAGTGGCTGCAGCTGATTGGGACACACAGTTTCACATTCCCCACACACCGAGGCTGGTTCAAAGTGGCTGTAGCATATTGGGAACCAAGCTGCATTGTGTTGCTTTGAGAATTGTATGAGTGCTGTACTGTACATTAAGCAGTGGCAAATTTAAGTTAGTTGCATGTCCTTACATGATGTTGCAAAACCAATCCTAGTATCTTTAAGCTGTCTGGTTTTACTAGGCAATTTTACTTTCAGTAGTTTGCCAATACTTACTGAACGGTCAGCTTACCATATCATTGTCAGAATCAACACAGTTTTGTGCTGTCAATTTTCCATGTTGATTGAACCAGATATGTTGGAATTGTGAAGCACATTCGCAGCATAATGGCACAATTGTCATCAATCAGCAGGTTCTTCACAGAATGTGGTTCTCGTCACGGCACACCTGAAAGTCTCTCTTTCTCTAGCCAGTTTTCCAACCCTATGTGCTTTCATAGTCAATACATCTTCGTTATCTTATATCCACCTTCACAAAAGTCTGCCTCTGTCTCGTTTTTGAGAAAACTCTCCGTCACTGTTGTCTCCAGGTTACATTGATGTTAACATGTCCGAAATAGCTCCGCTTTTGTGAAGGATGCTGTTTATGAGCCAATTCTTCCCAGTGCACAGATCATGTAGGATGTCAGTATTTTTCTTGTTCTTGGGCCATGGTATCTAAGAATATCAAACTAAAGTATCTAAGGATATCAAACCATGGTATCTAAGGATATCAAAATATGGTATCTAAGGATATCAAACCATGGTATCTAAGGATATCAAACTATGGTATCTAAGGATATCAAACATGGTATCTAAGGATATCAAACCATGGTATCTAAGGATATCAAACTATGGTATCTAAGGATATAAAACCATGGTATCTAAGGATATCAAACTATGGTATCTAAGGATATCAAACATGGTATCTAAGGATATCAAACCATGGTATCTAAGGATATCAAACTATGGTATCTAAGGATATAAAACCATGGTATCTAAGGATATCAAACCATGACATCTAAGGATATCTAACCATGGTATCTAAGGATATCAAACTATGGTATCTAAGGATATCAAACTATGGTATCTAATGATATCAAACTATGGTATTTAAGGATATAAAACTATGGTAGCTAAGGATATTAAACTATAGTATCTAACGATATCAAATTATGATAGCCAAAGATATAAAACTGTGATTTCTAAGAATATCAAACTATGATAGCTAAGGATATCACACTATGATAGCTAAAGATATCAAACTATGATAGCCAAAGATATCAAACTATGGTATCGAAGGATATAAAACTATGATTTCTAAGGATATGAGGCTATGGTTTCTAATGATGTCAAACTAATGTCGCTAAGTATATCAAACTATGATAGCTAAGGATATCAAACTATGGTAGCCAAAGATAACAAACCATGGTATTGAAGGATATCAAACTATGGTAGCCAAAGATAACAAAACTATGGTATCGAAGGATATGAAACTACTGAGTGCAGACTTACTGAAGAGAACCACCAGCAACCAGTATTGGCTGGGGCTTGTTTACCAAGTTCTGTACAGGATTTACAACTGTCCTTTAATTCTGCTGTCTGTCACTGCTGTCTGTTTTACCACTTTTTAGGGGGGTGTAGACAGGAGATCATGAGCCTGGGGATTTAGGGCTTATGGCTAATGCTGTCTCCACTGGCTGTGGAGGTTAGGATGTCTAATTTTGCCCCCTCCCACAGAATTTCCATCAGCTTTCTAGGGGTCGAACCCTGATCTCCCACATGAGAACCCGACGTTGTGACCACTCAGCCAGCCGCTGTTTCCTCAATTCTCCTTTAGTTCTTCAAACCTATATAATATGTATAAAGTTCTCTTGGAACTTTTTTCACAACAAAAGGTGTAAACACATTTATAATTTTCTTTACAAATTTACTGTACCTTAAAAAAGATTAGTTGTATGTAAGTTAACTGTTCACCACAGCACATACAGAAAAGGAACTAATATATGTGACAGCCTTAAGATTCTTCCTATCTACAACTATAAGCTTACATTTAAATGGCATTAAGTGAACTCTTACAGTTATTTCTGGATTCCACAAACTACCCGTGTGCAGTCTTACAATTATGTTTTGGTTTCACAGACTATGTTAATTCTGCACATATTTTTCCATTCCACAGGATGTCTATATTCACTCTACAAATATGTTCACATTCCACAGGATGTCTATATTCACTCTACAAATATGTTCACATTCCACAGGATGACTATATTCACTCTACAAATATGTTTCCGTTCCACAGGATGTCTATATTCACTCTACAAATATGTTCACATTCCACAGGATGACTATATTCACTCTACAAATATGTTTCCGTTCCACAGGATGTCTATATTCACTCTACAAATATGTTCACATTCCACAGGATGTCTATATTCACTCTACAAATATGTTCACATTCCACAGGATGACTATATTCACTCTACAAATATGTTTCCGTTCCACAGGATGTCTATATTCACTCTACAAATATGTTCACATTCCACAGGATGTCTATATTCACTCTACAAATATGTTCACATTCCACAGACTATCTGTGTCCACCAGAAGCTAACATCTATGGTATAGACTTCACCAGATTTAAACTCCGAGACATAGACTCCAACCAGGTGTTGTTTGAAGTGGCCAAGCCACCACCCCCATGTGATGCTGGTAGGGATATATTTATTGTAGCTCTTGTGTATCTGTGTATTAGTAGCATTACCTCACTGTAGTATTTTTATTTGTCTTGTAGCTTTCTCATCTTACCAGTTGGCTGTTGCTTCTCTTGTATCATTATCTCATTTGAGTATTTGGACTAGTCGTGTAGCGTTCTCATCTTACCAGGTGACTGTTGCTTCTCTTGTACCATGTCATTACTAACTGTCTTTTACTTTATTCTGTTTCTTCACTTCCTTCCAGTGAAGTGTTGAGAGAAGGTGTAAGGATCTTGTTTGTACTCTTTCTGACTGTATAATTTTATCTTAATTTCTTTAAGGCTGTTCATGATTCCATCATTCCATATTTTACATGAGCTTTTTTTTTTTTTATATTTCTTGGTGTGGCAGTTGATACCAAGGTTTTTTCATCAGTGGCTGGATCATCTCATCTGTTGCTTGAATGAATTGTATGACAGGTTTTAGTCGTAGTCTTCTTCTGACTCCTTTATTTTTTATTGTATCTCTTGTTATTCAGGCAGCTCTTCTAGGACACCTCATCTTTATCTTATACCACTCCCTTTAATTCCTAGCACATCTGTATTGATAGATCTATATATGCCTGCTTTATCAATGTTTTCCTTGGTCTCCTCCCTCCCTTTCCAATTTCTGGGCATGTGATGCTTTTTATCATATCATCTTCATCATCATATGCCTTGCTGACTAGTGTGGGTAATCATATGTCTCCACAATCTGCAATCTTAAATATCATGTATCATGTGCTGACACCTCTCCAAAGAAAAAAACCCACATCTGTGAGGCCTCAAGAATAAAAATTTTGTAATTAAATAATGACATGTGTCCATTGGGATTCCAGTAGCTGTGGTGGCATAATGGTTTACCCTTGCCTGCTGGCTCAAAGTCTGGGGTTTAAATCTGCATAAAGTTTGATCAGCTCCCATATCAACCCAGTCTAAAATAGGCACCTGGTAATGTTCTTAAGAGAAAAGGCAGGCTGTATTACGTTGACTATAAAGTCGATTCTTAGGACTTTAACTTAAACTTTCACCCAGTAAATGAAGATTTGCATATACAGTGTGTGTCTGGCTTCATGTGCCCCATGTGCCACGGGTGTAATTTAACCACTGGGATTCCAAATCTCTTTGTTGTGAGTTATGATTTGGGTTATCCTCAGGCCACTCCGGACATGTCCATAGGTGCTCAGATTCCCCTTCAGCATATACATCAGCATCCTGTGGTTGATAGTCCCAGTCCTAAGCTGATTTACAAGACTTCCTGTGTCTCTGGTGTGCTTCTCGTGCCTGGCTGTGCTTTTCTTTACTCTAAATTTTTGCAGCCTTAGCAAGTCTTTGCTGGGTTATAGGCACCTGGTAATGTCCTTAAGACAAAAATGGCAGGCTGCTTTTACGTTGACTATAAAGTCGCTTATCTCTCTAGACTTTAACTTCAACTTTCAAGAACCCAGTAAATGATGACTTGGCCTATACATGTGTGTCTCATTTTCATGTGTGCCCATGTGCCACTGGTGTAATTCAACCACTCCGATTCCACATCTCTGTGTTGTGAGTTATGATTTGGGTTATCCTCATGCCACTCCGGACATGTCCATAGGTGCTCAGATTCCCCCTTCAGCATATACATCAGCCTCCTGTGGTTGATAGTCCCAGTCCTATGCTGATTTACAAGACTTCCTGTGTCTCCGGTGTGCTTCTCGTGCCTGGCGGAGAACCTTGAGGTAATCTAAGACAAATGGTTATCGGATCTGAGGACCAACAACCTCACCTTAGTACCACCCATCTCTGGAACAGTGCCGCAGCTAGCCAGCAAATGATGAAGGGCAATATTTTCAGTTGGAGGAGGATCTGCACCAGATAGTCAAAATTCACTCTGTTTACGCATCTTCTAAATCTAGTGCAGCTGCACAGGTCTCTTCTTCCGTCTGAAAACCTTCAAAGGCATCATGGGTGAAAACTGCCGCATTGAGCCATGTCTCTTTATTGCCCCTTTACCCTCCAAGTGTGTATCTGCATGTTGTTTATCATGCAATAAATTAACATAAAACAAGCTAAGATTAAGGACTCTCGACTAAGATCATAGTTAGTCTTGTGGCTATTATATATTAGCTTGACTGAATTGCCCAAGAGGCACTCAAATGGGAAACAGATGGATTAGGGACACAAGGATGTCTAAACAAAACCCTAAGATGAACAATTACAAGAGAGAGATTGAAAGCAAAGGGACGGGATTCCATCTGTGATATTGAAACAGATGCACAGGATAGAGTGGAATGGAAGATCAAACAGCGAGCCCTATGTGGAATTTATCTGTAGAACAGAATGATCAAGATGAGGTTGACTGCAGTCATCCCATCCTTGTTTTTATCATGGCTGTGTTTGTGTTCAGTGTTGATTGATCTTCTGACAGTAGACGGTGATGATCATGAGGCAGCAGAAGAGGAGGAGGAGGAGGAGGATCCAAACTCTGGCAGATATGCTCACTACCATTTCACACCTCGATTTTTACAGCTGAAAAATGTTGGCGCAACGTGAGTACAACATTTATGACAAGTGTACTTTTCTTCTAATTCTTCTTCTTCTCCTCCTCCTATTTCTTCTTCTTATAGCCTATCAGTTGTAGACTATAGTGAGACATTCAGTTTGTTTATCCACTTCTGGTCTCAAGTCTTGATCCAGAACTAAAGTTTTTTGTTGTGCACAATCATTTTACATTCTGGCTTACTTATATGCAGACTACTGTTCCTTGCCTCTCAGACAGATGCACTCCGACTTTGAAGGAAGCAACCCTTATTAACGGCCTCTTATGACATGCTTGTTAGGGCAGCAGTGGATCTGTTCACTGTTCTCTGGAATGGAGCCCCAGAAACCATACGAGAAAGATGCAGTTTTAATCACTATTCATTCAGCTAACAGAATTATTTTTCAGCTTTAATTTTGGTTCATCAGAAATATTTACTTCCCACTTTGTGTACTTTGGTAAAATTATGAGAGGAAATAAACTGGAACATGCTGTGACCACTGGACAGATTTTTGGAAGGAGAGACAGAGGAAAATTCTGTGAGAAGATTCTTGCCTGCAGAATTATAAGGAGGCTGAGCATCTTGATTTTGTCTTTGTGTCTGGCCAAACTTCACAAACAAATTAACTACCAGAGCATTTGCAGAATTGTCTTGGAAATAGTCAGAGTAGGAAGGGAATTATGAAGGAACTGGCCATACCAGCTCATATATGATGGCTTAGAATGTGTGACCATGTGGCAGATGTGTTTTTTATTTGACTAGTCTCTTGTTTTTTTGGTTTTTTTCAGAGTTGAGTTTGTGGTTGGAGCACAGTCGGTCAGTAAACTTCGCATGATTGAGAAGCACTATTTCCGTGACCGTGTCCTGAAGTCTTTTGACTTTGAGTTTGGGTTCTGTATCCCCCACAGCCGCAACACGGTGGAGCATATTTATGAGTTCCCCAAGCTCAGCGACGAGACAAGTGAGTAGGCATGGATGACCAGCCATTTTGTGTTTCAAGTTTTTGTTTCTTATGCGTTGTCACGTCTGTCTCTCACAGGTCATTACTTCAACCTCTTTCATATCATCAGAGCAATCCCTCTTGACATGTATCTCCCCTTAATCTTCTGTAGCTTGCTCATTGAGCACTTAGTGGGTGATGTGGTTAACCTCCCACCAGCCAACTTTACTTTCCACATTGGGTAGCATGGTACCAGTGTGCGGCTGCCTTGACCTGCCCTAGAATATATGCAGAAGAAACACTTCACACTGCCACAACTGTATTTGCTATGGGTGCTGCATGGTCTCAAGGCATGGTACTAGTGTGAGGTTGCCTTGACCTGCCCTAGAATATATGCAGAAGAAACACTTCACGCTGCCACAACTGTATTTGCTATAGGTGCTGCATGGTCTCAAAGCATGGTGTCCGCCTTGAGTATGGAGGTTCCGGGTTCAGTCCTAAATGAAAGCTGAGATTTTTTTTCAAGTGGACTTCTAGTAATTTTCCCTGGTCTGTGGGTAGTAACATCGGATGCTCTTGTGTATTGTTTTGTGCACATAAAAAAAATCCCTTGACAGTTACAAATAGAAATGAGTAGCCTAACGGCACTGCAATTTGGAGTTAAAAATCTACTTAAAGTATTTCAGGATCCTCGCCAGTGCTACGAAGTTCCTGCACTGATGTGAGATTCTTCAGACTCAGGCTTGAGTTAGAAGTAGAATGGAGGTTATGGGTTAAGACCCTTGTGCCTTGATGTTGATCCGCTGTTTAATCATAAAAAACATGGGACCGCCTTTACTTAGAAGAGTAGATCTAGTTACTTCCGGTTGTGACACATTTCCTATAAATGCGATGTATCAGCATTTCTGAAGTTCACCTGTTCATGAATAGTCATGAATGAATAAATTTTTTAGTGATTAAGAATAAAATCTATTTGTGAACAAATCAAATATTTGGTGATCAAGAATGAAATCTAGTTGTGAACAAATCAAGTATTTGGTGTTCAAGAAGAGAAATATAGTTGTGAATTTAAAAAAAGTATTTGGTGTTCAAGAATGAAATCTAGTTATGAACATATCAAGTATTTGGTCTGCAAGAATAAAATCTAGTTATGAACAGATCAAGTATTTGGTGTGCAAGAATAAAATCTAGTTATGAACAGATCAAGTATTCGGTTTGCAAGAATGAAATCTAGTTGTAAACATATCAAATATTTGGTGTGCAAGAAGAGAAATGTAGTCGTGAACAGATCAAGTATTTGGTGTTCAAGAATGAAATCTAGTTATGAATAGATCAAGTATTTGGTGTGCAAGAATAAAATCTAGTTATGAATAGATCAAGTATTTGGTGTGCAAGAATAAATTCTAGTTATGAACAGATTAGGTATTTGGTGTGCAAGAAGAGAAATAAAGTTGTGAACAGATAAAGTATTTGGTATTCAATAAGAGAAATTTAGTCATGAGTAAACAAGGTATTCGGTGTGCAAGACTGAAATCTAGTTATGAACAGATCAAGTATTTGGTGTGCAAGAATAAAATCTAGTTATGAACAGATCAAGTATTTGGTGTGCAAGAATGAAATCTAGTTATGAACAGATCAAGTATTAGGTGTGCAAGAATGAAATCTAGTTATGAACAGATCAAGTATTAGGTGTGCAAGAATGAAATCTAGTTATGAACAGATCAAGTATTAGGTGTGCAAGAATGAAATCTAGTTATGAACAGATCAAGTATTAGGTGATCAAAAAGAGAAATGTAATTAAAAAGTAAGTAAAGATTCCTTTTCACGCCTTAAGGTGCATCGGGCATATGGGAAAAGCACCCATATTTTAACAGACCAATTGGCACTAGATGGGCAATGTAATCAGCATTACCCCGGTCATCTTTACTTCCCCAGGACATGCATCCTGGTACCCATTTTAGGCTGGTTCGACCTGCGACACCCCATACCACAATAAATATCCACACATCCAGTAGTGGGTTTCGATTGTGGTACATTGGAATTACGAGTTGGACTGGCAATGCCTAAGCCTGGGTCGCCGCCGAGAAATATAGTCATGAATAAATAAATTACTTGTTGTTCACCCCTTGTTTGTTGTATTTGTGAACATTTTCAGTCAAAGAGATGGTGCAGCACCCATATGAGACCCGCTCGGACAGCTTCTATTTCGTCGAGGACAAACTCATCATGCATAACAAGGCAGACTACTCTTACAGTGATGACATCCCATCCTCATAGATGTATAGTCATTGTAAAAACACACGGAAAAATTGCTTAAATAGACAAACTGTAGTGACACAAAGATGAACATAGACAACTGATTGAAATCCTTATTACCTAACACATCATTGATACCACACAATTCACACATCTCCTGGCTAATCGTCCTCTAGATATCTTTATTCATTGTCTCTGATACCACACAATTCACACTTCTCCTGGCCACACATCACTGATACCCCACAATTCACACACCTCCTGGGGACACATCACTGATACCACACAATACACACATCTCCTGGCCACACATCACTGATACCACACTATTCACACATCTCCTGGTCACTCATCACTGATAACACACAGTTCACACATCTCCTGGCCACACATCACTGATACCACACACAGTTCCCACATCTCCTGGCCACATGTCACTGATACCACACAATTCACACATCTCCTGGCCACACATCACTGATACCACACAATTCACACATCTCCTGGCCACACATCACTGATACCACACAATTCACACATCTCCTGGCCACACATCACTGATACCACACAATTCACACATCTCCTGGCCACACATCACTGATACCACACAATTCACACATCTCCTGGCCACACACACTTGAAACTTAGCATCATTTTGTTATTCCTGAATACTCTTATGGGCTGTAGACCTCATTTAACTTGCATAACTTACATTCTTGAAAGCCATCATGGTGCAGCGACTAGGCCCTTGCCTGCAGATCTGAAGGTTATGGGTTCACATTTGAATGGTGCCGCACTCTTTTCAAAATGACCTTTGCTCTTAGGTCGACCCAGCCTGAAAGGGGTACCAGGTGACAGTCCTGGGAAGTAAAAGTGGCCAGCGTGATGCTGACCACATCACCCACCAAGTGTCGATTAGTCTACAAAATATAGGTCTAGCCCTATTTGCTCAATATGCTTGATGGCATGGAAAAAAGTCCTTTAAATGTAACTTACTTAAATTCTTAGCTTCTAAATTATTCTTGAGCATCATCATTGTTACCATTGTATCTGTATATCATTTTCTATGCTGTCTCTGGCAGTTGTAGTTGATCCGATCTCCTCTGCCTCTGCTAGTTAATAAGCCAGACTTATAGGTTTCTTTTTGGCAAGTCTTGAGAGAAAATTTCAGTACTAAACATTTTACATATGTGCCCTAGACCAGGGCTATTCAACTGAACTTACTCATGGGCCCAAATGTTAAAATTAGGGATCATCACAGGCCAGGGTCAGGAGCCCAAGAATAGAAAAAATCATGGTTATAATACAGCTGACAAATTATCCATGAGGCACTTGCTAGGTCTCTGTGGCCCTAGACCAACTCTCTGTTCTTTAGTCATTGCATTGCAGGAGTGAGTGTCAAAGATTAACTCTCTATTCTTTAGTCATTACATTACCTAAGTAAGTTTGCAATACAGACTCTCTGTTATCTGGTTATTTTAGAGCATGGGTAAATGTTCGATGAATTTCCCACACTGACTATTCTTTAGACATTACATTACATGTGTGAGTGTCCCAGACTTGGCTCTCTACTCTAGTCATTGCTTTACATGTGTGAATGTCCCAGACTTGTCTCTCTACTCTTTAGTTATTACATTACATGGTTGAGTGTGCCAGACTTGACTCTCTACTCTCTAGTTGTTACATTACATGGTTGTGTGTTCCAAACTTGGCTCTCTACTCTCTAGTTATTACATTACATGTGTGTCCCAGACTTGGCTCTCTACTCTCTAGTTATTACATTACATGTGTGAGTGTCCCAGACTTGACTCTCTACTCTCTAGTTGTTACATTACGGTGTTGTGTTTTAGACTTGGCTTTCTACTCTCTAGTTATTACATTACATGTGTGAGTGTCCCAGACTTGGCTGTCTACTCTCTGGTCATTACATTTCATGATTGTGTGTCCCAGACTAGGCTTTCAACTCTCTAGTCACTACATTACATGTGTGAATGTCCCAGACTTGGCTCTCTACTCTCTAGTAATTACATTATATGTGTGAGTGTCCCAGACTTGGCTCTCTACTCTCTAGTCATTATATTTCATGATTGTGTGTCCCAGACTTGGCTGTATGCTCTCTAGTCATTACATTACGTGTGTAACTGCTTCACTGACTCTCTGTTCTTTGTCCTGATTGTTTCATTAATTTATTTGCCCAAAAGTGTTTTATTAACTGTGCTGTTGTCACATCCTTGCATTATTTTAACCCCTGAAGACTCCACTATTGACACTCTAGAGCAGAGGTTCTAAAACTGGGTGTAGTGACACCCTGGGGTGCCGTGAACTTATGCCATGGGTGCTGTTGCAGTAATAAAGAAAAGTTGGCTTAACATTGTGAAATTATTAAAGAAGGCATGCAGATACTTAAGAGTTATAATTTGAGTTCTCTTCACTCGCCTCTGTCGAAAAGATTTTATTGTTTGTTTCATACTTAGCTGTGTTTCATACTGTGTAAAATGCCAACCGTTACGCTAAGAATTGTCCTTGCATTTATTTTGAGGTACGACCGATCCTCTACCTGAATATGTTAAAGTGCAGTCTATAAGTAAAGTTATGGTTACATTGTCAGCAGACACCTGCGAGCCTAACCCATCCAAGTTCATCTGCCTCAGTTCGCAGAAAGGCAACTCACGACCAACAGAAAATCAGTGGAAAACTAAGAAAATGTCCAAGCTGCCTTTCTTTGTTTGACTTTGTATCAGTGGGGAACGAACAGGCACCTAAAAGGGCAATGCATTTAACTGTCATAGAAGTGTTGCTAACGGCTGCTTGGTTCCGTCTAAATTACCGAGACATCTGGAATGCAATCATTTTGATTTAGTACATAAAGGCTCAGAAATCGTTAAATGCTGCACTTTGTCTCGTCAGGCAGGGTCATCAATGATGGAGTGTATTTCTAAAAAGGAAAATGAAAAGAGTATAATGCAAAATGAGTCTAGTGCCATTCATCGCATTAAAGACAAGTCAACATTGAATTTGCACTTTTTTCCTTCTTTCCCTAAGTATTGAACTGCTTTAAGGGTAGGTGTGCTGCGAATTTTTTTTTTAGCCCGGCATGGGTGCCTTGGCCACACACCAAAAAAAGTTTGAGAACCGCTGCTCTAGAGTACACAGAGTTTATGTTCAAATATGTAAAAGCAAAAACCATTTAACTGATAAGAGTTAATTTTATATTAGGCTTTTGCATCCTAAATGAAGTCTTTTTGGGCTGACTATATGTCGCATTGGATTGTGTTGGACAGATATCCCAGCCTAGCTGTAAACTACAACACACCTGCCAACTGTACTTTTAATGTTGAATGTTGAAGAAGAAAACATGTCTGAAGGTTAATGAACATTTTGTAGGATTAGAGTTGAAATTAAAATTTTGGTAGAATAGTTTGGTTATATATGGGAGCTGCAGAATAGTTATGTTATTCATTAGAGCTGTAGAATTGTTATATAATAATTGGAAGCTGTAGGATAGTTACATTATAAATGGGAGCTGTAGAATAGTTATAAATGGGAGCTGTAGAATTGTTACATTATAAATAGGGGCTATTAAATAGTTATATTATACATAGGGGTAGTAGAATAGTTATAAATGTGGGTAGTAGAATAGTTTTATTATAAATGGAAGCTGTAGAATAGTTACATTATAAATGGGTGCTATCGGTTAGTAACATTACAAATGGTAGCTGTATAATAGTTATAATATAGATGGGAGCTGTAGAATATTTACGTTATAAATAAGCGCTGTTGAATAGTTGCGTTTTACATGGGTGCAGTAGAATAATTATAAATGTGGGTACAAGAATAGTTGCATTGTAAATGGGACCTGTAGCATAGTTACATTATAAATGGAAGCTGTAGAATAGTTAAATTTTAAATAGAAGCTGTAGAATAGTTAGATTATAAATAGGAGCTGTAGAATAGTTACATTATAAATGGGAGCTGTGGGATGGTTATAATAAAAATGGGAATTGTAAAATGGTTCTATTACAAATAGGACCTGTAGAATACAACATTATAAATAGGATCTATATTATAGTTACATTATAAATGGAAGCTGTAGAATAGTTACATAATAAAAAGGATCTGTAGTATAGTTACTTTACAAATGGGAGCTGTAAAATGGTTATAATATAAATGGGAACCGTAAAATAGTTACATTATTAATGGAAATGGTAGAAAAGTTACATTATAAATTGGAACTGTAGAAAAGTTACAGTATACTTGGGACCATAGAATAGTTATAATATAAATGGGGGCTGTAGAATACGTACATTATAAATGAGGCTGTGGTAGTTGGTAGACACTTGCCTGTGAGCCTAAAGTGCTTTGGTTCGAGTCTACATCAAGGCAGTTTTGGGGGGGGGGGGGGGTGGGGGGGGGGGGGGTGTGTAAATTGAAGTAAATAACCTGAGCTGGCAGGTGTTTGCAGCCAAATCTGGCTACCACTGAATTGGGAATTAAAGGTTTGATGTCCACCACATGCCCCATCAGGTGCCTTGTGGTCTCTAAACATGGGCTTCTAGCAGCATATGCCCCCATCAGGTGCCATGTGGTCTGTAAACATGGGCTTCTAGCAGCATATGCCCCCATCAGGTGCCATGTGGTCTGTAAACATGGGCTTCTAGCAGCATATGCCCCCATCAGGTGCCATGTGGTCTGTAAACATGGGCTTCTAGCAGCATATGCCCCCATCAGGTGCCATGTGGGTCTGTAAACATGGGCTTCTAGCAGCATATGCCCCCATCAGGTGCCAGTCTGTAAACATGGACTTCTAGCAGTCTATGCCCCCATCAGGTGCCATGTGGTCTGTAAACAGGCATATGCCCCCATCAGGTGCCATGTGGTCTGTAAACATGGGCTTCTAGCAGCATATGCCCCCATCAGGTGCCATGTGGTCTGTAAACATGGGCTTCTAGCAGCATATGCCCCCATCAGGTGCCATGTGGTCTGTAAACATGGACTTCTAGCAGCATATGCCCCCATCAGGT